AGCACAGCGTGAGCGGGAGCTCCGCAACTACCACCAGGAGCAGCAGTACAACCGAAGTACGTGGTAGCCTCTGCTTTTCTTCTTTTTTTTTTTTGGACCTTTGCCAGATTCCCCCCATTTATTTGCATATTCTTCTATGTATCCGTTGGCATTGTATAATATATTCTGGTTTGAGCTCCGTTTTTTTGGTTCAGAACATTGGGTTTTAATACGTGGTTTTCTTCTTCAAAGGCCTCCTCGCCGAGATGTCCGCAGCCAAGTCCGATCGCTCCGTCAGCCCGGCCGCCGTGAGCGAAGAAAGTCGTCGTGATCTGCTCGCGCGCCAGCACCGCGCCCTGTACGGCAACGAAAGTCCCGCCTTCTTCCCACCCGGCACCCTCTCCGACGACAACTCGCGCGCGGACAGCCAGGGCGGCGCCACACCCTCCTCCGCCGGAGTTCGAGGAGCCTCTCCTCGCAGCGTGGACCCCTTTGGCATGTCCCAGCCCACCGGCGCGGGCAACGCTGACGGCCCTTCGGGCTTCCAGTCGCCCAACCGGGCCAACAGCACCTCCTCGCCCAGTTCCGGCATCAACGCAGGCTTCGGCAGCGAGCAGCCCGTGACCTCGACCTCATCCCCCGGCGGTGCCGACTCTCCTTCCTCCCGCCAGCCCTCGTCCAAACCGACTGCCGGTGCCATCGGATCTGTTGGTCCCATCGGATCCCGCCCTGCTGCGGGACAGACCTCTGTCCCCGGAGGCGTTTCCAACCCTGCCCTGAACAAGCGGTCCACCACGCCGCTGCCGTCCCCTCTCGGCTTCGGCTTCACCCCTAGTGATGCCCCTGGCGCTGTCAACGAGCATTCCACCTCGGCCACTTCTAACCCGGCCTCGACCGGTGCACAGGGTGCCAAGGACGGCGGCGTGGCTCTGGCTTGGAGCAACGGCAGTGGCGTCTGGGGGTCGAAGAGCGGTCTGGGCGTCCAAGCCTCGGTGTGGGGTTGAACGCCTTGACCGGATATATTCGACTTGAGTTTCCTTCCGGTGGGCGTTGCGACCACTTTCAAAAAAGTCATGGCCAGGGAAGTTTAGTTGGCTGCTCGTGGGTGACATACGGTTTTCTTCCTCGCAACGGTACATACATGGCACAAATTCTCAACATCTTGTGCTCGATCTGGGGTTCTTTCTGTCTCTTTTGATCTACGTCTTTATTTCATCCACGCTGGCTTGGGTGCGGAGGGGAAAAAAGGGACTTGTTGGGATTCTTTTTCCTATGGAGTCCGTTCGGTTTTTTTATTCCCCTTTTTTTCGGTGTCCGTGGATTGTGATTTTGTTTGTTTTTTGTGTTCGGCGAAATGCGTCGGCGAATTTTCTTTTCGGCTTTCCTCCGGGCCCTGGAGTCTTCCTTTTTTCATTTTCTTCTTGCAGTGCCTCTCTGTATGGGTGTGGATTTCGGGTTTGGATTGGACATGGCGCTTCAGTTCTGTGAGCTTGCGTGTTTGATTGAGAGGGGTGTCGAGTTCCTTGGTCCTGTCGCTTCACGGTTGGGTTGGTATGGTTTTGGGTGTTATTGTTTCTCTTTGGCAGGGGGTTGGTTGGGACACGCATCTATCTGGTTTGGACTTGACATACCGTCCGTCTACAAGAACGACGTCAGGAGAACGGCTGGTTGGTGAAAGGATGTGTTGTTTTTGGGTTCCTCTCTCTTCTATCTTTAATATCTCGGCGAAGGAGAACCTGCTTCGGGGGCTGTTGGGTCATGCAGGCATTTCGTTTCTCTACCCATGCACCCGTGTAAAAAGAGCCGGAGTCTTCTTACTTCTTGTTGCTGTTGTCATTCGGTGGTTCTTTCTCTGGCATCTCGTGGTGTCCTTTTTTCTGCATTTCCTTTATATTCTTTCCTTCCTAATATGGATAAGTTAGGGATCCTTGTGTTGAGTTCGGAGTTTTTCTTTATTAATTTTTTTATTTCTTTCTTTCTTCTTTTACTTAGTCTCTCTCCTCTCGTCTCTCCATCTCACGCTCGTTTTAGGGGTTGGTAAATATCTCACGGACTACTTGTTTAATGAGTCTGGTTCAATGATTTTCATTTCTATTGAATAGTGTCTTCTCGAGATTGTTCCTAGGGATGTATGTTGACCTAGATACGAGGTGATGAGTTTCTTAAGGGATCATCCGTGGATAGGAAGGCATCTTCTAGAATTAATAATCGCGCAGGACGTTTCGTTTCATTCCCATAACCGACGTGTATATATATCGAACCAGATCTCCCCGAAATTAAGAATTAAGACACGCCCAAGGCGCACACTGAGCAAGCAAGTTTTTGCTGCCCTTGAACACGGTCCGCAGGACTGTGGCAAGCGCACAGCAAGATCTGTACAGAGGGGGATCTAGAGGTTCGTGGTAGTCGTTCCATGTATATACCATACCATCCATCATCCCACTTCTATGTCCAAATCAACTCACAAAATCAACGAAATCAACAAAACCATGGACAAGAGAAAGAAGAGAGTAATCCACGTCTAGTTAGCCAGCAGTACAACTTAGACAGAGCTCGTGTTCGCGGCCGGGGGACTTTCAGGATCATGGTCCGCCGGGTTCACGCCCTCGGGCACGGTAGATTCGATCTTCCTCTTAGCAGTGAAGAGACCGGCGACACCGCGCTCCTGGTTGCGACCCAGCCAGGGCTTGCGGGCTTCGCCAAGGACCCTGCGGCCGAGGTAGTAGATCAGCTGGCCGACGATGATGAGCACGAACGCGATGGGGTACATCCAGTGGATATGGTAGTGGAAGACCGTGATGCCGATGCAGACGCCCCAGAAGTTCATGGTCAGCATGGAGATGTTGAAGAAGGCCGCGGACGACAACCGGAACAGCAGGGGCGCCAGGCAGTAGAACATGAAGAGACACAGCGTGTACCCTGTCAGGTAGCCGCCGACTTTGCCGTCCCAGTTCGCGTCGCGGAAGGAGTCCCGCTCGAAGATCGCGCACTGTACGCCGTTGATTATCATTCCGAAGAACGACATCTGGCCCAGCACCTCGTACACGGGCCGCGTGCTGACGAAGTATTCCTCGCCTGTGTTGGTGAAGCCGTAGAACGAGGCGCCGAGGAGCGCGAACAAGTCGCCCTTCAGCTGGTTGCCCTTGGTCACGTCGCCGCCGTTTGTCCCGGTGATGTGGTCCGAAGCAATTAGGATGCCCATGCCGCCGATACAGACGATGATGCCTAGCACCTGGGTGATGTGGTAGCGCACGCGCAGGAAGATGAACGACAGGACGACCACCACAACGATGGCCCAGAAGTTGATCAGCTGCGCGCTCAGCATGGTCGTGTATTGGTATGCCAGCACAATGAAGTAATTACCCTCCACGTCGCAGAAGGCAAGGATGATGTCTGTCCAAACATGTTGTGTCAGCCCACGTTCTTAAGGTACAACCGGCAGCCCAAACCCTCGGGGATGGGATGATGCAACATACATTTCCAGCCGTCACGCCACACCAACTGGAGCCAGCCCTTGATGCCGTAACGGTACATCGTGTAAGAAGTGAAAACAAGGTTCAGGAGCACATAGTTCATGAATGTCTGGAAAGCGGGGACCGCCCAATGCTGCATCCCGAGGAGCGTGGTGAAGGTACTGGTCGAGGTATTGGCGATGGCCAGCAGTTGTCTGCGTCGGGGGTTAGCTTTTGACTATCAATCAAAGTCAATGTTTCTTACCCTAGAGCCAAGGTGATGTAGAACTCCTTGGTCTTGAAATAGGCCAGCCAGCCCTTCTTCTGCTCATCGACCAGATCGGCCGCCGGCAGCTGCTCCTCCTCGGAGGAGTGCGTAGGGCTCTGGGAAACAACTGCCACATCGACACCCTGCTTGGGCAGCGACTGCGACGATGAACTGGCATGGTTGTCCTTGCCAAACGCCTCGATGGCGCCCTCATTATTGGAGGACATGTTGGCGAAAGCGGGGGTGCTCAATTAGGAGAAGTAGTAGTAGTAGAAGAAGTGAATGCTGGGTCTACCAACAGATCAGACTCAACGGGAGCTTTTCAGAGGAGGATCGAGCGCAAAACTCCCAGAAGTCGCTCGTCGATAGTTTAACACTGAGAGGCGTGTGTGAAGGTGAAGGAAAGAAAAAAGGCCGAAAACGAAAAAAAAAAGTCTGGAACCGATAAAGACCGGTGGGGAAAGGTCCGTGCTGACAGTGACAGTGCTGGGTTTAGTATAGTGATCTAGAGAGAGAGAGAGAGAGAGAGAGAGAATGATAGTTAAGGAGTAAGTCGAGTAGTGATTGTATTAGTGATAGTAGTGGTGAGGATAATATGATCCACGGCGACTAGAGAGATACAGGCTGAGAGAGTGACCAAGTATAGACCGACATTCCTGATGCGGTTGACCACCGCTGGACAGACTCTTCGGCCCGAGATGACAGTGGAGGCCCCTGACGAGCATTTGTTCCAGAGAGCTTCGATGCGGGATCCATTAACCGGCATTTATGACATCTTCACTTCGTATTTAAGCATATGGAGGATTTCCCCATCTATGCAAGTCTAGAGGGTCTATACTTCCGTACTGTATGTACCTGATCAAGGGGCCTGGCCGAACCCACTTTTCTCGGTCGCGTGTGTTGCGGCCAACCTCTGCTTCTTCACTATCCATCTCTCTTCCTTTCCATCACCCCCCACTCCCTCCATCTATCCTCTTCTGTCCTCGACCTCTCGTCCATTCCATTCCCGTCACAACACCCTCGCCCCCAGTCCTGCGCAGACCGGCCGCGGTGGATCCCTGCTCCCGGCGCATCCCTCTCCCTTCGATCGTCATCCCCCTCCGCAGACTTTGCCATTTCATCATCAGCATTCCATTCCTTCCATCCACCCCCATTTTTTTATTCCGTCCGCCCTTTCGCTCTTCGCTTACCCTGGCCGCCGCTGTCTCTTCGCCGTCTTCCCTGCCTCTCCTCCTCGCCGGCGCACCTCTCCCCGAGCTGGCCTGGAGTGACGAGGCGCCTCGCTGTCTTCCGTCCGGATCATGGCGCTGGACTTGCAGCCGCCCGACGGTCGCAAACGGGTCAAGGTCTACGAACTGAGGGATAATGACTGGTTTGACCGGGGAACGGGTTTCTGCACGGGGCAGACCTTGGGGGTAAGCTATCTCTCTCTGTGCGCTGCGCGCATTCCGCGATCACGCCCGGGGCGACGATCGACCTCTGCCGTCACTCGGCTCGCAGCGCGCAAAGCGTAAATATCACGAAGTCTAACCGATTGTTGTCTTATCAGGAGGAGCCTCGGATATTCGTCGAATCGGAAGATCAGCCCAATCGCGTGCTTCTTGAGACCAAGATCACCAAGGATGATGGCTATCAGAAGCAACAAGGTTTGTGTCTCCCCCCAGACTCCATCTGGTCGTATCACCGTGGAGCAACAAGCGGTTGCTGATGACTGTATCACGCGAACAGAAACCTTGATCGTTTGGACGGAACAGAATGGCACGGATATGGCGCTGAGTTTCCAGGAGGCAGAAGGTTGCGCGGTGATCTGGTGAGGCCCCTGGTCCACGAGCCTGTCTAGCCGCATGCGTTGTCAAACTAATCGTCATGCTAGGGATTTCGTCAACACTGTCCAACAACATCTCCTCAGCCTGGCGGCTGCCGGTGAGTCCCGTCTGATCGATCGCGGCGCAGCGCCCAACCATGCGTTCCATTGCTAATTGTGCGGTCCCCTTTCCACAGATGATGCCCTATCAGACGACCTCGAAAGTTACCAGTCTATCGTGTTACCGGCGCCAGAACTCGGAAACCTCGCCGAAATAGAACAGATCGTCCGAGCTGCGAGTATGACCCAGGCCGGCCGTGACGCACTTTGCAAATTCATCATTCGCGACGAGTACATCTCTAAACTTGTACCATTAGTGCAGATGGCCGAGGACCTGGAGAGCCTAGCCGACTTGCATCGCCTTTGCAACATCATGAAATCCTTGATTCTTCTCAACGACAACACCATCATTGAAACTGTGGTTGCTGACCCGGTTATTCTGGGAGTGGTTGGGGCTCTCGAATGTACGTGTGGTGCTTCATTTACTGGTGGGGACGGTGTACTAAAACATGTCGCAGATGATCCCGAATTCCCAACACATAAAGCAAACCACCGACAGTATCTGGCCGACCAGTCGCGTTACAAAGAAGTAGTGCCCATCAAGGACCCCATCATCCGCAGGAAGATCCGGAGCACCTGGCGCTTGCAATACCTAAAGGATGTGGTGTTGGCTCGGATCCTGGACGACCCGACCTTCTCCGTGCTCAACTCCCTGATCTTCTTCAACCAGATGGAGATTGTCAACCATATCCAGTCGAATGCACAATTCTTACGCGAACTTTTTGCGGTCTTCGACCCGAGAAACCTGGACGCAAAGCGCAAAGACGACGCCGTGCAGTTCCTCCACCAATGTGCAGCAATCGCAAAGAACTTGCAGACCCCGGCGCGCGCTAACCTCTTTACCAACTTCATCAACTACGGCTTATTCGCCGTTATCGCCTTTGCCGTGAAACACCCGAACCCAGCGATGCGCACAACTGGTATTGATATTCTGATGGCCTTGCTCGACCATGACCCCGTGATTATGCGTGGGTACATGCTCAAGGCCGTTAACGAGAAGAAGACGCCGCTCACCGACACATTGATTGACCTCCTCCATACCGAGACCGACCTTGGAGTCAAGAATCAACTCTCTGAGGCGGTTAGGAGCCTTCTTGACCCGCAGGTTCCCCTGCAAGACCCACTCGGACGACCTGGACCCGACTACTTCAAGGCTCGTTCCGCTAACCTTCTTTCCGATACATTCGTTCAACAACATTTCGACGAGTCTGCCAAACGTCTTTTCCGGCCTCTCAAAGAACTTGCCAATCGTCATAACCGTGAGTTCTGTTCTTGTGTGTTCAAAATCCGAAGCTGACCCGAGTCCTGTAGTGAATGACTTGACCTTCCAAGAGGTCACGCTCTACTCGCATCTTGTAGAGATCCTCACCTTTTTTGTTCGTCAGCAACAATACCGTGCACGCAATGCGATCCATAACGAGTCTCTCGCGCCCCGGGTTGCCCAGCTCCTCACAGCCCCCCAAAAACACCTAAAACTCGGTGAGAGTGCTTGGATTCTGTTGCTAAGTGGATAACCACTAACGTAATATTGTGCAGTTGCCCTCAAATTTTTCCGTGCTCTAGTTAATGTTTCGGACACCTTCTGGCAAGCTCTCATCACACATACCCCTGCCTTCGGGTTGTGTCTCGACATCATCTACGAAACCATGCCCCGCGACAATCTTCTAAATTCTGCCTGCCTCGAGCTTTTCGACTACATCAAGCGTTCCAATTGCAAGTCTTTTATCATTCATATAGTGGAGGAATACCGCGAGAAGCTTGAGAGCATCAACTACGTCGAAACTTTCCACCATTTGATTCTCCGATACGATCAAATGCAAGGATATGGTATTGACGCCGACTTGGTGCCGCTCAGACGCCAGGATGAGGACAGCACGCCGCGGAGGATGCCGCTCAACGGCGAGCGATGGCAAGGCGTCAGGGAAATGGATGCGGCCGAAGAAGAGTACTTTAACACTTCGGATGACGAGGAGGAGTGGACTCCGGACACTCGGGCAGCCGTTGCCGTCGGTCCGCTCAACGGGGCTGCTTCTCCGGCCGTCAAATCCTTGGTTGACTACCCGGATGACGACGACGACGATGATGTTATGGATACAAAACCTGAAGACGATCAACCGGCTCAGCCATTGGATGCCGCAGACGTCCCTGCCGAGGGCGACACCTCTCCCGCCTCTTCCACCACTCAGACGCCACCTGCGCCTGAACGACTGGCCGAGAAGCGTCGTCGCGAGGAAGAAGATGAGGACGAGTTGATGAAGCTGACGGCAGGACCCAAGCGGAGAAGTTCCACGGCCAGCAATTCCAGCGCGGGGAGTATGCGACGGAAAAACGGCTTGTCCATGGGTATGGCGCCCGGTGATAAGAGTGCCGCCCTTGGTAATGCCACGGGCGGCGCACCGGCCAAGAAAATTGCCATCAACTTGGGATCGACGTTGAAATCGGGCGTGGACAGCGAAACGCCTGATTCAGAAACAGCAGCCAACGAGAACAATGAGAAAGAGAACAACGACAGTCGCGGGGATCAAGGCGGGTAATGCGTTCAACGCATTCGCATATAGTACTTCTGGCGTTCTGCGTTTCTTTTTTTTTCTCTTCTGATGATTGAATCTAGCAGCGGCCGCTTTTGATTCTTCTGCATGCTCTTTGTGTTTCTTGATGACCTAGATACCAGGTACAGAGCGCGCTTCATCCTTCAACGTCTCTTTTCTGCGTGCTGCAGTCTCTTTGGCGAATCTCTTTTTATCTCATTTTGGATTGCGCTTCATGCAATTCTATTTCTGTGTCATTACATCTTCAGCGAGGAGCTGTGTCGAGGGGATTGTGTATATTGCGCTCTGCGGGCGTCCGGGCCATTGCATGGGAATCGGCCTTTGCGGTGATGATTTTGTTTCTTTCTGGATTTAGAAACTGTGGAGAGGGGGGAGCTTTGGTGGGATCTGGGAGAGGAGTTGGGTTGCCATACATACTGCAAATCCACTGTTCTTGATGTTTTCCAAAGTATCTTTCGTAGCTCGTAGTCGGAGATGGTCGTGCATAGTTAAAGATAGTGGGGCCTCACTTGGACCTCGGAACTTCACTTTGTCCACCGCCATCCACTTGACTGCCAGCGACGCGTTCTCCTCGCATTGAGCGAAGTGAGTACTGCATTGAGATCAACAGATGTCTCCGCAGTTGATTCGATCCATTTAATTTACGAAAATAAGGCCTATCTGGCGGGAATGCCAATCCTCCAGACAGAGGAAACCATGGCGTCACAAATCACCCCAAACACATTTCTCACACACTGTGCCAGGCCATCATCGTCATCCAAAGCAAACACTAGCGCCACTACAATCTTTTTCATCTCAGGAAACCCAGGCTTGATTAGCTACTACCACCCGTTCCTATCCTTGCTCGCAGACCAGCTTTCAGTGTCCGAGGGGTGCAAACCAGGAAGCTCTTTCCAGATCTATGGATGTAGCCTGGGGGGATTCGAGCTCCTAGAAGACAAAGTCCAGATGTCCAATGATGGAAGCCACAAGCCAAACCCCAAGATCTACGGACTTGAAGACCAAATCCACTTTGTGCATGGCAAACTCCACAGCCTGGTAACGGAGAATAGCAAGACGGCTCTCTCACAAACTCCGAGTGCGGATGCTGCTACTGCGCCACCAAGACAGAAAGTCATTCTGATCGGACACTCAGTTGGCGCGTATATCGCCATGGAGATTCTAAGGCGACACCGCGAAACTTCGGGCTCAAAATTGGTTGAGTTTGATATCATTGGGGGTGTAATGCTCTTCCCCACGGTTATGGATATTGCGGCTTCGCCTTCTGGACGGAAACTGACAGTATGTATTTGTTGTTGGCTAACTACCCTAATTGATGGCTATTTCATCACTGACACTTACATCTCAGACCCTGCTGTCCTTTATCCCCCAACTCGCGCTTGTAGTCGGGTTCTTTGCCCGATTGCTCACCTCCCTCCTGCCCCACACGGCCTTGCGATCTTTAATCCGGTTTGTGATGAACTCACCACCGGACCATGCGCTAGACGCGACATTTGCATTTATGAAGAGTCCCACTGGCGTCCGACAGGCTCTGTACGTTTCCCTTTCTCCTTTCCATGGTGTATTTCATATAAAAGCCCCACTCTAATATGTTATATGATATCAGACACATGGCGGCGGACGAAATGCGCACTATAACAACTGACAAATGGACTGACGACGTCTGGGGCGCCGCCACAGCACGCCAGCCGATTACGAAGTTGGTCTTCTATTTTGGACGAAATGACCATTGGGTCGCGGAGAAGACGAGAGATGAGATCATTGCCCTTCGAGGGCAGACAGGAGGGAAGGGACCGACTATGTTGGTCTGTGAAGAGGGGTTGCCGCATGCTTTTTGTTTAAGTAAGTTTCTTTTCTTTTCTTTAGGGGTCTGAGGAGAAGAGGACTGTGCTGATTTGTCTAGAGCATAACGATGTTATGGCTCGCAAGGTTGGGGGGATGATACGGGATATTGTAGCTGGAGATGAGGCGAGCTGAGTAGTTCTTTGTGACTTTGCTTAGAAGATTAGATGCCGATCCACTATAACAATAGACGAAGGTGGGCCTAGAGGAGAATCAAGAACGTCAGTGCTTTAGGTATCTGCGTAGAAAGCGACTGACCCGTCTACGGGGATCTAGTCCGCAATACCAATACCATTTGGCATAAGCCTACCGACATAGACAGTATGGCTAGAAAGTGAAAAAGAAAGAAGAGGATTCCGAAGCATGTTAGATTGATTGTTTCTCATATCGCCCTGCTTTGATCTGCTAGATGTACGGATCTTCATTGCTCGTTTGAACCTTCTGGCTAACTCAAGCACTGAGAATAATAGGAGTTTTGCGCCTTGCATGTAGCACCCGAACCACATGTGGTTGGACCTGTCCAGCCAACGCCTCCACATTGACCCCAGAGTGTCTGAGTTGCACCTGAACCAGAGGAGGTGGTCGTGGTTGTGGTAGTAGACTTGGTGGTGGTGGTAGATGACTTTGATGAAGTTTGACCTTCTCCCCCACCTGAGGTGAGACCTTCCGGAGTCACATCGGTTGCTGTATCCCCATAGCAGACGCAAGTTTCCCAGTCCGATGTGGCCTGGCCGGGACAAGCCACCGGCTCAAAATTGACGACTGGGTTATCCCCAAAAATCTCACTCTGGGCCATGATATCAAAATGGTAGCTATATCCGTATTGGTTGGTCCCGCCAACCGTCGGGCACCATTGTGCATTGCCGTTGTTAGGACAGAGGTTGGTGACCATAACGATGATACTCTCACCCGCATCACCGCCTGTTCCACAGCCGCTGCATGGGGCGTTGCCGGTCGACGTCAGATTGTAGCACTTCCCACAGCCTCCACCGCACCAGGACGCGCCGGCCGTGTCAAATAAGGCCTGCGAGCCTGCCGCTGTATAAACACCACTGCTGATACCAAGCTATATACGGCGAGTTAGTGATAGACGCTAGTGCATATGGTCAGATTTCGTTATTTACCTGCCAGGAGTCAAGGCCAGAGGAAGTACCACAGCCACAGGCGCCTTCCTGGCCATCATAATAGTGCTGGGGATTTGTTAGCTTTCCTGTCTCACGACAGCGGGAAGGAAGAACTTGCAGTAGTGGTGGCCAGGTAGGCAGAGGCAGCAGCAGTAAGCTGGAAAAGAAGAACTGCTGTGGACTTCATGATTGTATATCCGGTGAATGGTGGACCTTGGATAGCGAGGGTAATGAGCTGCTTGGACCTTTGTGTCACTCTGGAGCGCAGCGGTCATGGGCACATACATGGAATTTATAACTTTCCAACCAACCCCAGTCATTAGCATGAATTCATTAAAGCCTGCAGGGGAGAGTGTCTTCATAGCTTACCCGCGGAGCATCTGCCCGAGACCCATAACTGCCGCTCCATTCGACATATACATCCCAGAAATGTGGAGATTGCTAGGATCCAGTGGATTCTGCACCCGTTACGGGTCAACCGACTCTTTGAGCAGAGCGCTGCAAAATACGCCACTACTGTACATGAAAAGTTAGCTATCACAATTTATCCAATTGCACGGCTGGATGGGCTGCGTCCGGGTTGGTTTCATCTACGTGCGGGACACTAGGGGTAGCGCGGTCCGTGTTAAATTAAGAACGGGGTTCTCTGCAGAAGCCTCATCGTATCCGGATGTGGGGCAATCAAGTATAGGACCTTAATTTCATACAACTACTAAATGCTTATGTTTCACTTTTGTGAGATTGTGGGCTGTATTTAGGTATCCTTGCCTGAGAGAAAGGCAAATTTTGTTTCAAGTCCGTTCTCTTGTATTATTCCAAAAAAAAAGTACAGACCGCGCTGGTGATGGGCACATGCGGGGATGAGAAGGAATAGAGCTTGCCTATGCAAGAGGAGCACTATCGCCTTTTCTGATTTATTATATGCACTAATTTGCTGAGATTGGTATATATCATTTCTGTATAGAGGATTAACATCACAATCAATCGGGTTGCTTTGGATGCTCTAAATTCTCGACCAGAAATCGAATTATGAACATAGATTCCCCGTAGCTTCCCTTAAGCCAAGCTCTTTGCAAAGAACTCTGCACACCTACCCCCCGCCTCATCAACGTGATCATACAAATCCGCATGCGTAAGCCCATCAACAACATACAACTCCTTCGGCTCCTTAGCCTTCTGCACCGCATCCTCACTATACCACTTCGTCGCCGCCTTGGAACCAGTGATCATCAGCAATGGCCTGGGGCTAATCATATCAATATGCGCAAAAGCATCAAAGTTGCCCATGATATCCCAGCTGCGCGGCAAACAGGTATTCGTCGCGCGCGGGTGATGCGCTCTGGGGGTGCGATAATAGTTCATTAGATCGCGGAACGAGTCTGGGAATCCCTCTGGTGCATCCTCAGGCTTGGGAGGCAGCATGTGCACAGTTGGAACCTTCTCGCCGCCTATGTCGCTGTTGCGGTCCTTGCCTGCGGCCTCAAGTTGCGATTTGAGAACCTCCAGGTTGGATGAATCTTTGTCGTATCCACGGCGGGCCATGGTGCCGACGCAAACTGCGGCAGAGGTGGCGCACGCCTTGATGCGCAGATCTGTCTGCGCGGCGAAGGGGGCATATCCGCCCGACGCGCAGATGCCGAGCACACCGATCTTGTCACTGTTGACATCCTGTCGGCTGACTAGGTAGGTTACGGCGCATTTGATGTCCTCCACGCGCTGGTAGGGGTCTTCTAGATCGCGCGGTTCGCCCTCAGATTCGCCCTGGTAGGCGGCGTCATAAGTCAAACAGGTGAACCCGGCTTGGGTGAGGACCCGGGCATAGTTGGCTGGCGACTGCTCTTTTATAGAGGTCCAGGGATGGCAGATGATCACCGCGGCGCCAGAGCGGTTGGGTGAACCTGATGCAGGAGGGTAGTAGTGGCCCGCAAGCTTCAAGTTGCGCGCGAGGAAAGTGACGTTTTGAGGTGAAGACATGATTGGATTTGTTCCGAGTTTGAACAGAGTGTGAATTGTGCTTCTTTGATTGGGGGGGGGTCTCTGATCCTTTTATACCCTATGAAGTAGAAGTTGGGATGTGTGCAAATTCCGAAAATTATCGGGGACCGACAAGTTCTTCGAAATGACATCAGAGCACTTCGCCAAGAGAACAAAAGCTCTGGATCTGCATTGGTTAGGACCGAGGTTGAGGTGGCAGTTCAAAAAATGAAGTTGGGATTGTACTTTGCGCAGGTGGATGACAGTCCATGGAATAATCCTGCAGGTTGAGACAGCAGTCAAAAGGGTATCTCGAACGCATACGCCACACCCGTCTCCAATAACAATACAAAATGCCCCTGGAACACCAAGAATGAAGCCAATTGATCACAGACAAAGCTGCCAATGGAAACATGCAAATGCCACGGAAGAATCCAATTCTAGTAACCCTGTCCACCGCCCTGATAGGCCAATCCTGCTCTCTGGAATAGAGCACCCAACACGTCCGGCTGCCGCTGCGGCTGTGATGGAGGCGGCGGCGGCGGCGGCTGCATCATGCCATGGTATCCCGGATGCTGCTCTCCAGGACCAATATTATGAGCGCGCACACTCCACCCATCGTCCTGGGCCCGCTGCTGGCCGAACAAATCTTTCAGTGAGATCTGACGGCCCATAGCCACGCTGGCCTGGACCTCATCCAGCGGGGGGCTTGAGTTGACGCCGCGGCTGCAGCAACATGCATGCCGTTTTGACGCATAGCCTCCAGACGCTCACGCGCCAGCTTGAGGCTCTGGCCGGCGTGGGTCGCACATTCGTGGATCAGCTGGGCGTTGATGGTGCGCGTTTCAGCAGTGGAGTTAGGCGGCGGTTCCGAGTAGATCCAGAGACCGTAGATGCGGACATCAGCGCTCCCGGTGCCGTTGTGGTTATTGCTTCGGCCGCCCTGCGGATTCAAGGGGTCTGCGATGCCGTTCTCGCCCTGCTCGCCCTCTTGGCCCTCGTCCGCTTTCAGAATCACATACTCCTCTGTGATTTCCACGTTCTCGCCATCTGTGAGAGGTAGGTCGAAATTGTTGAGTCCGCGCCGGTTGAGCACAAAGACGCTGTACCGTTCCTCACCCAGGTTCCCTTGCGATAGCTGGCACACGAAAAGTGAGCCTTCCACCCCGTTCTTTTCCCACTGTCGCGTTGTCGGACTGAAGATGTACACCACGGAATAGGGGGCCAGCGAAAGGATGGAGTTCACGGAAGGGTTGTGGCGGCGGATGACGGAGAGGTTGAGGTCCTCATTGGAGCGCAGCGGCGGAGCGGGTTGCTGTTGCGGCATGTCGGAGAGATAGGTGTCGGACTCATAGTCGGTGGGATAGTTGTTGTTGTTAGGTCTGCGTTTGCGGGCGGCCATGGCTGGCAGGAAGAAAGGAAGGAACAAAGGAGGACAGAGAGGTTGTTGGAGTTTGAAGGGAGAAGGTGCGAGACAACAATCTGGCGGGACGAAGACGGAAAGGTTGTCGGATCAGCGTCATCGCTGGCTTTCCACCTTGATTCACCTTTCGACCTTCGCCTCTTCCACACCTCACTCCTCACCCACCCTCTCGCCAGGGCATTATCTGCTGCTGTCTGCGAAGATTGCCTACCGAGGTACTCAATTAACTTATTTTCTTCCCTCTGACTGATCCGCTCATCCTTGGTCAGCACTTGATTCGACTTGAAATCACCGTGTCCACGCCCCCACCGTTTGCGCCCCTACGCTGTACGAGCCTTGCACGTCTTCAAATGACGCATCTACGCGATACGATGATGGGTCCTTGATCACCTTAGTTATCTCGAAGCTATTCTATCGCCATTGTCATCGACGTTGTCCGGCGAGCATCTCGCCAGTCACTGCCAGCCTGCCGGAATTGAGAACCGAACTGCCATACTCCCCATACACCTCAGACACACTGATATTGTCGCATTATATACCGGACCATTTTCAAGTTATGCGAATAACCCTCGCTTTTATTTAATTCGAGACCGCCCTTCTATACAATATGGCTTCCAACGAACCGCAACCCTCGCCGCCCACGTCAGTCTCTCAAGACCATTCTTCCGAGGATGCGGAAGAAATCGAAAGCCCTGGACTCGATCTCTCGTCTCTGACCCGCGCACTCAAGGCCAGAAAGGCGGAATATACCAGGCGCCGAACTATCCGGGTCAAGATTGGCACATGGAACGTGGCGGCCCTCTCTAACACCGAGAAAGATGTAGAGAAATGGTTTGTACAAGGCAGAGGTGTCTGTCAGAAGCTTTCGGGGGAAAACATCTCGCACTATCGGCAAAGATCTCGATCGACGGATGGAAGCATGTCTACCACTGGTCCCGAAAAGAAGGATGACCCGGCCCCCTTTCTACGCAGCCCAGAAGAGATCGACCTCTATGTTCTAGGGCTTCAAGAGGTTGTCGATGTCTCCTCGCCCGCTGAGGCACTGCGCCCATATGTCGATCCGGGACCATCGAACCGATGGAAAGAATCAGTCCAAAAGGCGCTGCCTCCAGGATATCAACTCGTCTCTGATATTCAGCTGGTTGGGCTGCTGCTCATTATTTATGCCTCACCGGCTATTGCTGAGAGTGTTTCCTCCGTCAACAGCACCAACGTCGGTACGGGGCTCATGGGATATATGGGTAATAAAGGTGCGGTTGCAACCCGCCTAGTTCTCGGCGAGACTACGAGTTTGGTCTTTGTCAACTGCCATTTGGCTGCTGGTTCAGATAAAGGTAGCCTGGAGCGACGCAACTGGGATGCCTCTCAGATCGTCACGCGCACCAAATTCGAACCCGTGGAGTCCGAACAGGGCCTCCAAGGCGATGCCTCTCAAATAATCGGCCAGGAAGATTTTACTTTTTGGTTTGGTGACCTCAACTACCGGCTGGATGGCATTCCCCGCGATGCGATACGGCAGGCTCTGGCTCGACACACCGTCAATGCGTTCGATACTGCGCTTCAAGAGAAGCACAAAGAACGCAATGATTCTCAAGGATCTTCAAGCTCCTCCTCAGTATCAGAAGCCACACCAGAACAGGACCTGCCCCCGTCCCCCCACGGCGAGAATGAGAGGAGCGAGCCGGTGACAGACGAAGATATCGACCCTCGCAACGACCCGGCATCTCTCCAAACCACGATATCATCCCTCCTAGCGCACGATGAGCTCATGGCCATGCAGCGTAAAGGGACGGCCTTCCACGAGGGCTGGCGTGAAGGTGAAATTACATTTTTGCCGACCTATAAATACGATGTTGGAAGTGTAGCCCTGTTTGATACGAGTGAGAAGCAACGTGCTCCTAGCTGGTGTGATCGGATTCTCTTTCGAACACAACGAGATAGGCAGAGGCATGAACGGCTCGATCGCGAAGCCGAAGAGGCTCGGAAAAGGGACCAAGAGATGCAAGCCCGTGGATTGGACAAAGCAGTTGCTGACGACAATGTTCTTTTTGATTATGATCCCGATGTTGATGGTGCGATAAGCACTGATGACTATGCCTCGGAGGAAGATCATGCCAATGATGCTGCCTCTCTCACGTCACAGGACTCCACCGAGGATCCAATTCAATTGATCCATTATGTATCACACCAGGGCATCTTGTCATCGGACCACAAGCCCCTGGATGCTGCTTTTACATTGACCTTCGATGCGGTCAATCCACAACTGAAGGCCAAAATTCATCAAGAGGTGGTCCGTGAATTGGACAAAGCCGAGAACGAAGGCCGCCCGGGTCTTACTGTTGTCGTCGATACTCACGGGGATGAGCAACGCGCGGAAGCAGATCCGAATGCAGTGGAATTTGGCGATGTCGCCTTCGATGTGCCGTCTCAGCGGTCCTTGACTATTGCCAACACTAGCGGTTCTCCGGCGACCTTTTCGTTTGCTGAGCGGCCCGGTCCCGGCGCAGATGCCCAATCCGAGTTGACCTCTTGGCTGGATATTCGCATCGACAAGCCGGCACAGAAACGGACCAAGGAGCCATCCAATACCTCATCAACCGCGAGCCACACCTTGCTTCCTGGCGAGGTTGCTAATGTTGATCTCACCGCACATGTCCATGACATCGGCCTTGTGCGCCTTCTGAACGCGCAGAAAGTGAAACTGGAAGAGATCCTGGTCCTGCATGTCGACAACGGCCGTGACCATTTTATCTCTGTGGCTGGGCATTGGCTTCCCACTTGTTTTGGCTGTAGTGTGGACGAATTGACTCGCATGCCCGAAAGCGGTGCTCGCAGCCTGTATTCAACAGGGACTTCTCAACTATCAACCAAGGAAGCGGAAGTGCGGTTGTCAGCGCCTCGGGAACTCTTCCACTTGACAGAGAGCATTTCGGAGCTAGTCGAACGTGCAGTGGCCGAGTGGAGCATGACCAATGGCGACTCTGACGAAGACCGCCCGCCGTGGACGATAGAGCCGAATGGGACAGCATGGCCCTTCCAGCCTGATACTTGGACTCTGCGAGATCCGTACGAGCGTGCACCACTATCAGCCCTGGTCCGGGAGGCTCTCGACACCAACGGAGCGCTCACGGCTGTCTTTGGACCCGAGATTTCCTCTCTGCACCGTTTGGAGATCCTCTCAGAGACTCTCCTGACCTTCCTCAATTCTCTGAGTGACGGCATTGTCACGGCATCTATGTGGCAAGATATTGATCGGCAGATTGTTGAGCGCGAGAAGTCCAAAGCCCCGCCTCGATCTTGGGAGGAATCCCAGGCCTGGGTCCTCGAGAACCTCGCCGACTCGCCCGCGCATAGCGTCTCTTTCACTTTTGTCACCTTCATGCTCGCTCGTATCGCCAACGAAGTAGCGCCTGTTCCATCCACCACCAGCCTTGTACCGAGCCCTCCATCTTCCTCCAAGGATAAGAAGAAACATACCAGCTCAGAAGAGTCGACTTCGGAAGCTACAAACTCCAAAAATCAATCCTCCGCCGATAATCCACAGCCGTCACAGCCGCCAACCCCAGCCTCCGCCGCCGCATTCATCTCCGCAGGCAGTTTCCGCCGCAAGGCACGCTCACCAACCTCGCCGTCTACCGGCTCGGACTCTGCATCAAACAGCAATGGTCCTGCCATGGCTCACAGACAAGCCGTCGAGTCCACACTGGCATCAATCTTTGCTCGTGTGCTTATCTCTGCGGCTGCACCGACCCCGGCGAAGGAGAAGGAGCGTCGTGCATCCGAGGAACGGAAACGAATCATCATCGAGCCTTTCCTGAAGATGATCGGTGTGGATGCTCGGGGACCGTCGGGTGGCCGTTCTTGATTCCGAGACACTTTTGGAGGTATCGTCCTTTTTTGCCTGTTCGCACGGCGGACCGTAATTCTGTTCGTTTGGGATAGACTTGTTGACCTTGTTTGCCATGCATGTATATTTAGTTCGATTTCATGTGCATACTCGCCACTGGATTGAAAAGATCATCAAACAAACAAATTCCTTGTTTCCAAAAAAGAAGAGCTCTTCTGGAAGCGGAATCATATAAAACCATGTACAACTATGCTCATTCTCAGCTTATATCCCATGCATATATAGTCAATCCCAATCTGTATAGTATCACACTTCCAGCATGATCAATTGCCATGTTTATGGCGATGGCTGCAAACACAACAAAGAAGGGAAAAGAAACAATATTGACAAAAAGGGTTGGTCCTCACTCTACGCCTGCACTCCCATTAGAATTCAAATTCAGCCTCTGCCGTAGAAGGTTGTTCTCCCGCCGAAGCTGCTCAATAACATTATCATACTCTTCCATCGTGTCTTGGTTGGCAGACTGTAGCTCCTCGATGATCTGGAACACGCGCCACAGACGCAGAATAATGACGAGCGAGCCGACTTCCTCGACTGGGCCCTGGAGGAAGACTGCGATGATGAAGGCAACAAGGATGACTAGGGAGTCGAATATGTGGAACTTGGATGAGAAGTATCTGGTTCACGTTGTCAGACCAGAACAGAGAGAAACCAGGCAGAAAGGATACAGCTTACCCCTTCCCAAAACTAAACACCGAAATAAGCAACTCGACCATAAACAGACACGAGATCACCAGGCTGGCGATGCCGAGGACGTCCTCTGCGATGCCCCAGCCACGGTCCACACTCTCATATTTATGTTTCAACTCGCAGACATGTAACTGGATCAGAAAATCCGTCAAGGTACAGCACACGTCGATGGTGACCAGGGCTAGCACGAGATAATGGCCCCATTGTCCGGCGAGAAAGTTGCGGGCGGATCGTCTCCACCGCGGAATGAGGGGCTCGTTTCCCTCCTCGAATAGTTGCGTACGGGTAGTTCCGGTGTGACGCTCACCGAGTAAGGGGCTCAGGACTGAGTACATGGTAGTAACTAAACTAGAGTTTGGGACAATAAATGTTGCTCGGCGGTGGGATAAAAGAGGGGTGAGTGGTCATCATCGTCAATTCCTACGCGTAGGTATTAGCATCGAGGATCTTCCCCGATCTGGAGCCGAAGAAAGCTTAGCACGGGATTTTGTTAGGCCAATGAACCGGCATTCGTCATATTAATTGGTGAACCAGCCATCCAACTAGCGAGGTAAATATAATACCGAGAAATATCACATGTCCAAGGTTAGGTATCTGTATACATACTCCCCTACTTCCAGCCCAAAGTCTCATTGGTGTCCAGCAAAAAGAAAAAAGAAAATAAAAAGAGCGGAGGGCATTTCGCATCAAGACATTTCATCAATTTTAGATCGGCTTCGCCGGAGTGCTCCGTGCAGAACCCAGGGGATGTTCCTGCTGCCGTGACAGTGGCACAACAGCCGGCGCACGCGGCGGCGGAGGCGACTGTGGGCGTACTCGAGAATCGATTGACCCCATAGCAGCTTTTCCCTTCCCAGACTTGGACCGAGGCTGCGGAGCAGGACTGCGACGCAACAAGCGTTGAGCGGCGAGGAGACAGTGCGATGCCGCGCGACTGGGGAGGCTAAGGACCGACAAGGCCAGCTGGGTGGGAATCACAATGCATGCGCAGGCCCAGTTGATCAGCGTAAACGCGTAATTCGGACGGTGGGCCGCAGCGGAGCGCTGCGCTGCAGCGGCGAGGGCGAGAGCGTCGCGCGTTTGAGCTTCAAGGTGCTGCAGACGGGTATCGGTTTGGTGGGCTGTGATTGCGGTGCGTTTCTCGTAGCGTCGGACAGCGCGGTTCAGGGCTTCGATCTCCGGTTGCGTTGATCGTCGTGCTTCGGAGACGGCCTGGGCTACCAACGCCAGGCCGTTATTTGCAGGCTCGTGTGGCGAGAGCGCACCCTCTTGCTTGGAGCCAGGGGAGGCAGCCATGCGTGCGGCGGCTGCCTCGGCGACATGGGCTTCGAGCTCGTCGAGGCGGGTGGAAAGATCTTGGACTTTGGCGGGATCGATGATCTCGTTCGCGCCCGAAGATGCCACGATGCGCTGCAGGTGGAGGGTTCGCGATTGTACTAGTTTCAGTAGATGCGCAACAGGTCGGATTTCCGATGCCAGCAGGAAAATCGTCAGGTTGTAATTCGAGACCAGGCCCTCTGATGGTCGGGAGAGGCTGGATCGGATGCCATGCAACAGCCATGTCCCGATGACAGGAAATATGAAGCAGGACGCCAGCGCCGTGAGCTCGTGGATCTGCAGCTCTTGAGTCGCTGCCGCACTTGCCGATGGTTGCGCCTGCGGGACATTATTGTCCGCATCTGTCGCGTCGGGCTCATCCACTTCCGACTCGATGGGATTATCGGCAGCAGACTCGAATGCGCCCTCCTCTCGTCGAACGCCCTGCGCCGAGCGATACCAATCCCACGGCAGTCGAACGGACCAGTTGAGAAAAATGGCCGCCAAAACCAGCAGGGTGACGTCGGTCACAAACGCGCTCCCTTCCTTGAAGAAAACCCCCGCGATGGCGGGCAGGAGGGCCAATCCCAGCGGAGCCGAATGCCAATGCGACTCCTCGGTCGAGACATGGCCTTCGGAGTCTCCGGACACGCGCGGGAGAAACAAGGAATCGGTGGAGGAGCGGATGGAGTGACGTGCCTCGGATATCGAGTCGGAGAGAGTGGAGTTGCGACGCTGAACCCAGCCTTCGACTGTTGCGGCGCGCAAGGGAGTCGCGCGGCGACGCAGTGTCTGGACGGGGGACACCGAAGGCATGGTGAGGAGGAGGAGGAATGATGATGACGAACTCCTGGGGTGGCGGCAACAACTCATGTTCATGCGAGGTATCGTGGATCTTCACGATGGCTTTCCTGTTCGGTGGTGCCTCGGCCCAAGGGGCCCAATAGCTTATTAGTTTATTACATGGTTGGCCCACTTGTCAGCTTGATTATGCTTTCTTTGTTCGGGGTTTGTTCGACCGTACTAGATGCCCGCCTCCATGTCGACAGAAAGACCCTTAATCCGTTCCCACGAGCAGCCCTAATTAACCGATCATCACCCGGCCATGGACAACCACGCCTCGACTGCGGGAATTCGCGCAGCTCCAGACCCGTGCATGACGGCATGCAGTCTGAATCAATAGACATTGCTAATCAGGCTCCTGCGGTGACACGACCAGGGTGGCCATGGGCCGGGGGAATCCAAGCTCTATTGAGTCCCCAATGCGGGTTGGCTCGGTGCGCCCAGCCAGACCCAGCCCCAATAGACCTATTCACCCCCCGGTCTGGTCATCGCTTCCCCTTTATTCACGCGTCCGATAAAGCAACATGCCAGTATTTCAATGGGCAGGTTCCGTCGGTCGCGAGGCATGTTGGGGATGTGGTGCGGTATCTCTGCGACAGCCGTGGAATAGTGACTCCGACATCGACATCGGCCAGCTCGAAACACCGGATTCTTCATCGCTCTTTTTGGGTTCCGCAGTAATGTCTTGATTCAGCTCTGGCAGGTCGGGCTTTATTGTGAATCATCTCCGTGGTTATTCTCACGTTTCTCAATAAAATTCAATAAGCCCTGATTCACTGGCGACCCCAACAGCAACTTGATATACGACCTACTCCAGCGATGGTTCGCATCCTTGCTCTTCTTATTCGGTCATTTCTTACTCTCGTTTCTCCAGGGTGGCTGGTTGAGCATCTCAAGTGATCAACTCGCCTTCTGTTGGCCCTCAACTTGAACATACCACCGGTGCCACGTGCCACCATGGAGACTCCAGCAGACGTGAAGCTCTATCCAACGGCGGTGGTTCTCCCCCTTCTTTCCTTCATCATCATCGGCCTCTGTATCACTCCTCTTATTTTGCACGCGAAGAATCGCAACTTCCCCACCACCTGCCTGGTCTGCTGGTCCATCATGCTCAATCTCTTCAACATCATCAATGCCTTCCTCTGGCCAAGAGACAATGTGGAAGAGTGGTGGGATGGTACTGGGCTGTGTGATATTGAAGTCAAAGTTTATGTTGCCGGGTATATTGCCGTGCCAGGTACCCTGGTAGGCATGTTCCGCAGCCTGGCTATTGTCTTGGATACCGACCGAGCAACCTTGGTACCTAGCAAGGCTCAGCGTTGGCGCAATCGCTCCGTGGATCTTTTGTTCTGTGTGATTGCTCCAACCATTGCAATGATAACCCACATCGTCTATCAGGAGAGCCGGTACTTGCTCTACTCCATTTCGGGATGTGTCAACAACTACGATACCAGCTATATGAGCCTTTTACTGGCCTACATATGGCCGCCGATCATTTGTCTGATTGCCGCTTATTACTGCTGTAAGTGGTCCCTTTACTTTGCTTCAGACTCCTAATCTAACTCGTCACCACAGGCCTGGTGATCATCCGGCTTCACAGGTATCGCAGTGACTTCGGCGCCATTTTGCAGTCTTACAACAACAACCTGAACAAGTCGCGCTTCTTGCGTCTCTTTTTCCTTGCCTTGACTATGCTGGTAGTCATTATCCCCGTCGAAGGATACGTGCTTTACTACAACATTATCCTTGGGCTGCCCTGGCACCCTTACTCCTGGGACAACCTTCACGATCCAGTATGGTACAAGATCATCAAGGTGCCGGCATACGGCCAGGTGTTCTTTGACCGATGGAGCCCTATCGGATCGGGCTTTTTGATCTTTGTTTTCTTCGGCTTCGGCCGCGACGCAACCCGCATCTACCGCAGATTCGCCCGGTTCCTGGGACTGGGTTGCTGCTTCTCCAGCTTGGCTGGTCCAACCGATTCGCAGGGCACTGCACCAGCTGCCAACGCCTCCTCCTCCACAACCCTTGTCGGTTCCATTAGCAGCCGTGCCAAATTGATGTTCAAGGGTCGCAAAGTCTTTGCTGCACGGTAAGCAGACAGTCGAACGTTCATATTCGGACTCTTTACTGACAACTCTTAGAAACCAATGGAACTCCACCCTCGCATCCACCAGCACCTACAACGACATCGAGAAAACTACCCGCTCTTCTACAGCGCAGCCCCCTCTCATCGTAACCACCCGCAAGACCCCATGGTTCCAATCCCCCTTCAGGCTTTTCCGCCGCCACCCCCCATCCCCCAGCCAGGACGGAGACGTGCTTCTAGACGACCTGTCAGCCCCGTTCCAAACAATCTGTACCAACGCCTGGGCGGGAACGAGCGAGAATCGTCACAGTGGCGAGTTCATTCCGACCTTGAGTTCGCCTGAGAGAAAGGACTTTATTCGTGTCAAACAAGTGATCAGCCAGCAAACCGAGGTGGTTTGAAGTATCATCTGGTTTTTACTTTCTCGTGGAACTGTGGTCGACGTGTCCTTCTATTCTCTCTCTTATTTTTCTTTATGGTTTTACTCGGTCATAGATTGGCTGTACATGATGTTTAATAGTTTCAAATTCTCGCTCAAAAATCATATCTTGGGCTGACCTAATCGGAATACTGCCGGTTCCGCAACCATCATATCGAGCCATTTAGTATTGACCTAGTTTGATCAGCAAATTCTCCAAAAAAGCAAAATGGGGGTAAAATATGAGGATGATGATGGGCGAGTTAGATTTAGAGGCTTACATGGTCAGGCGTAAGCTCATCTATGCGGGTCACACCAGCGAGCCTCATGCCAATCTCAAGTTCTCTCCGCAGGACTAGATGTTCATATCTGTCAGTTATGTCAAGAGAACAAGAAACGTCAATTCGAGAAAAGAGAAACCTCACTCACCATCAACTGCCCTAACCACTCCTTCATGCCCATACGCACCCAGGGCGTACATGAATGGCCTCCCTATCCCACAAGCCCTGGCTCCTAGGGCCAATGCTTTGATCACATCATTTCCTCTTCTGAAACCCCCGTCCAGGAAAATCTCCACCTTCTCAATGATGTCCGGACAGTACCTGCGGATCTCCAGCAGCGTCATTAACGATGGTGGAGATGTGTCCAGCTGTCTGCCTCCATGGTTTGACAGGTATATGGCTTGAACGCCGTGCTGTGCCGCTATCAATGCGTCCTCTGCGGTCATGATCCCCTTGACAGCGATGGGCCCATCCCAGATCCCGCGGATCCACTGGAGATCATCCCAGCAGAGGGTTGGCGTCAGCCATCCGCCGTGTGTGAACCCCAAAGGCTTCGGTTTCTCATCTGTCTCGGAGATTAGGGTAGCTTTGTATCGCTCGTCAAGCTCGCGTTTTCCTAGCACAGCAGTGTCAACGGTAACTACAAGCCCTTTGTAGCCAGCTTGCTTGACACGACGGAGAATAGCCTCCGTTTTATGCCGTTCCGAAACTACATAGAGCTGGTAGAACTGGCATTGGGTGTCTGTCACCCTGCTGGAGGCAATGGCCTCGGGGGTCATAGATGCACTGGATGATACGATCTGAATTATGCCAGTTTCGCCGGCGCCACGTGCTAGGCCACATTCACCATCTGGATGAGCGAGTTTTGCCAGTGCAGCAGGCGCAATAAACACTGGAAGGGACGAGTGTTGTCCAAGAATTGTTGTAGACAGATCAAGGTCCTTGACGTTTCGCATCACCCTCGGACGGAAGAGTACATGGCGAAAAACTTTCTGATTGAGTTCATCAGCTTTGCCTTAAGTTAGTTGCTGTCCTTTTCTTATTCGCGCTGGTATAGTGTGCCATGGGGATTGTATCACAAATATACGTACATAAAGAGTCATCCGCAGCAGAAGAGAAATATGTCCACGCTCGCTGCGTTAACTTCTTCTTACAGATATCCTTCATTGGCATTTCTGTCAGAGACCTCATGCGCACTAGACAAATGCAGGCATCCAAAGTCTTACCTCAAAATCATATAGACTGATACATTGCTGCAAGGGGACTTTTGGCTCTAGAGCCTTGTCTTCGATTTGATGTTGTACCACAGCCAACCTATTGGCGGGCTCTCGGAGCATTTGGACGGGCCCGAGCTGTTTGTCCTGGGAAAGGGTTTCTTCAAGCAACCCATCGCGATGGACAGGCTCCTTTTACAGATGCGACCAAGTTCTCCCCATCAGCAAACATACGACCAAGTTGACAGAGGACTTTTGTGACAGGAATAGCAGCCTTACAAATTCTTCGGTTGCATCTTTCCCCGCATATTTTAAAATAATCTCTGGTCCAGCGGGATGCTGGTCGAGGAAGTCAGTCATGTCATAAGCCTCGCCACGAATGATGACCCAGCAGGATGAGCGCGTATTATGGCGTGAGACCTCATCTTCTGAGAGCACCATGCTATTTGGTATGGCTCGGTGTATTCTTAAGGTCCTGTTGTGAATACAAAGGGGCTTTTTAGCCTTCGGTGGTCGATAGCTGTCAGATCCAGCAAGCAGACAATAGTCCACCAGAGAGACTCGGCGGTTATTCACGTACTTTTTGATTCGAGTAGGGTAGGATTCTGTACCCCTCGTCAATCATACCTCCGTATCCTCGGGGGTAGATTCCCCGCGCTTAAGATTTGTCTCGGCAATTCAGCTTCCCCGCGCCGGGTCTTCCGAGGGACAATGCCCACGGGATAAGATGTCACAGACACAACCGAGCCGGCATTATGTTTGGACTAGACCAACACTAATTTTTCTGAGCGGTTTGCTTGGATAGATGATCATGTAGGTGTAGATTAGGAGACCATTCTATTGCTAGCTGGCCAACTCTTCCACACTAATTGGTATCCTAGTTGAGACATATATATCTAGCCATAATTCGCCAATGTCCAATATCGAGAGCAGATTAAAAAGAGAACTAGCACAACGCAAATCAAGTCAACCACGGCATTGAAACTATATCAATCACCGACATTGGTCAATTTTACATCTAACTATTCTCCACACAACGCTAGTAGTGTGAGAATATTTGTGACAAAAATAAATCAAAGCTTTAATACGTAGTATTGACCCTAATTGCAACTATCTATAGGTAAGGTAGGATGAATTCTTTTGATGATCATAGGTAGAAGTCAGGGTGGGTTATTACTAGGCTTTTGCTAGGTTTTCTAGGTTATTGCTAGGTGATTAGGTTAGACGTATATAAAGGTAGAGTGATCTAACTAATTAGTCGTGAGTATATATATCAAAGTACTACTCAAAACTGATATATCGCATTTGCTAGATTCACTCACTATTAATAGATACTATGTATGAGTTCTCTATTTTCCCTTTCTCCCTTACTATAAATCTTAGTTAATTTACTATATCGTAAGGTTAGTAGTCTGACTTCCCATCCTCGCTTTACGATAGTGATCTAGACAATCTAAGCTATCTTATCCTATCAAACCAACTAGTAACTCCATCTACTAGCCAACATACGATCGAAACCTTCGACCCTAACTTCCTCCGACCGAATATTATACTAATAGCCCCCTCCTACTTAATACGCGTTAGACCAGACCGAAGGAAAGCGTTCGTTCTCTACGATAAAATGTCCTATAACGACTAGGTAGAGTAGAGGCTACAAGATTTTGGAAGAAAGAGCATGGTTAAGTGGGACTCGATGCGCCATTCTGAGATTTAGAGCCACTATAACTAGGCTGCTTAGGGTTCGACTTAGTATGATTCTAAGACTAATCGCTGGTCCCCTGAAACTTAGGTGCTAGCGAGGCATTTATGTACAGGCTCTTTCTCCGCTCCTCCACGCGTTCATGTGCCGATCAGTGCGTAGTAGCGAAGTAGCAATAAGCCTTAGAGATTAGGCATACGATCGTAACTAGCATAACGCTATATTATAGTGGCCCTCAGGTTTAGTTTAGTAAGGTCTGCCATGATGTAGACAAGACGTGCCGAGTTCGAGCTGAAAAGGTGACGATGATGATATCACAAAGAAAATACAATGAGAGGGCGAATTTTTGCATACGATCTTTGTTTTTCATAGAAATTCATACGCATGTACGGGTCCAACTCATTCATCTCGCAATTGCCTCGTCCTATTCGCCACGGCGTCGGCCAAAGTTTATTCCGAACTTGATATGTCTCCGAACTTATAGTCTCCGAATGTGACTTAAAAGAGCCGAAGAGTAAGGCTACTAGAATAACTTTCCTTTCAATTTCATCTTAATCCAAACGAATTAATTTGACGGTTCAACAGAATGATGCAAGCTTCTAATTTTTCTAAGCCCTGGCTTCTTTATGCCTACCCGTGGCAGCCCTTTCCACGACGGCTTGTCATATACCTCCGTGAGAGATCTATTCCTTCCTCACTGGTGACTGTTGTCCCCGTTTCTGATCTTCAATTTGGCGGTCATCCTCCGGCGGGCTTTCCCCCAAAGCCGTCCGGAAGCCTCCCAATTCTTGTTATCCCTCAAGGCAACGGAGGCGCGCCGAAGGAAGCAATATATATCAAACAATCTATCGCTATCATGGAGTTCATTGAAGAAACCTGTTTGGCAGGGCGACACGGGTTCCCCAAAATTCCACCAATATCGATTCTGCCTCTCAAGATGCCTGTTCAATTTGGGGACGATGATGCTGCAGCTATTTGCCGAGCTAAGCATAGCGAGCTTCTCAGCTTAGCAGTCAGCTTGACAGAGGGGTGGAACCCAATTCGCATCTTTGGGTCAGGAACAGGAACCATGCGTGTGCCGGATGCCGCGCGCGAAATGCTACAATGGCTGAAGCGTGGCCTCCTAAGCGTTGAAAGATGGATGGATGAAAATGAATATTCTCCAGATAGCCTTATATGGGAGGCCAGCGGCTCGAGAAAGGCCACAATTGCAGAAATAGTGCTCTTTCAATTCTTTGAATTCACCAAGGACTGCTACGGTATCGATATGACTCTCTCGTCAGGAAAGCAGACCTTGGATGTCTATGGGCGAGAGGTGGTCGAGGCTTATCCCCAACTAAACCGCTTCTACGAAGTCTTCCTTTCTCGGCCGAGTGCACGGAGGAACCCCGAACTTGGAGAAGTTCCACATGCAGATTGGATCAAGAAAATGACGGAGTGGTCTCCTGGTATTTTCGAGGTCTGAAGACCTGGCAGGCCTGGACCACGTGACACTGTTTGCAAGTTTCCTGTATTGAGTTTGCTTGTCTTCTTCTGTTTTCTTCTTCTCGTTCACTCCAGTTTGAAGATTCTTGTAGAATGTCATTCTTCTTCGTTGAACCGGACCCCCACACTAGGTAAATATTCGAGAGAAGGGGGATAGTTTAGAGGACAGGGGCCATTTCGAACCACTGGTGGGGTGGAAATCGAGCAACTGGTACTTTCGATAGATCGCCCCAACTGCGATGACAGATCGTTGTTGGGATACTGCCATACAACAGCCCACTGTGTTATTGATGAAGCGAGGATTGGAACTCTCAGGAAGGACAAAACTTCTTGAGAGCGGAATACTGGCATTAAGGGAGTGAAATAAGTGAGTGTAAAATGAATTGTGTGAGTAGTCTGAGATTGGAAGTAATGAGGCTATCTAAACGGACTATCTAGACGGCTCTTGGAGAGGGAGTGGCGCATGACCGCAGCCATGCGATTCTGGTAAAAAAGGGCGCCGACAAATGGCGTCCAAGGTAGCCATTTTCGGTGCCCGATTTACCGTCACCTAGCGTTGCGGTGTAATCTGCTGCAAGGCTAACATCCAATGGGCCGGTAGATGTCACTTACTTTGTCGTTGATGATAACACCAACACGAGACAAGACATTCGGGCTAGAGATATGATTCCGCAACTCATAGGCCGAATTTACATCCCCGAGTGGGAACGGAAGTGTATTCAGGGTATACAATTACAATATAATCACAAAAAGCAACATGAGAGGAGATCGGAGAATCAGTCACTCATCATAATCAGAAGACCCGACATAACCAACAGACAGCCGCCCTACTTCCAAGCGCCATTATCCAGGTCATGAAAGAAATATTCGTCAACCAGCAACAGATCTAAAACCGCACCATGCTCGTTTACTGGGACTCGCCCTCGCCCTCGTAAGCGCTAGCTGGGCGTTTGAGGACCTCGAGTGAGCCTAGTAGAGGTCATATCAACAATGAACTTTAACAATATATATTGGAAATCAAGCAGGGACACATACGCTGCACAATGCTGAGGCTGGATTGCTTCTTGCCCTCGGCGTCTTCCCACTGACGCATGCTGGCATCGCCTTCGACGTAGACCAGAGTTCTGACACATAAATCGTTAGCAATCCACGCTAAGTTGTCCGTGACATGACAGGGCCCATACCCTTTCTGCAGACCGAGGATGTACTCCCGCTGCGCGCCTTCCGGAACGAAGCTCGAGACGCGGAACCAGCTGGTGTGGCGGTTTTCTTTGGGTCCGTAAGACGTGGCGAGGGCGTATTTAATGACGTCTTGACCGGTCGAAGTGGCCTGCAGCTCGGGCTCGGCAGCCAGGCGGCCAGTGAGGATCATCTTGGCGACGGAGCGCGGCGACGAGGAGCTGAAGGTGCGCGCGGGCTGGGCCGTGGCGGCCAGGCGCAGGGAGGGGCGCAGAGAGGAGGCGAAGGCGGACATTGGGTGTGGTTACTGGGGTAGGTAAGGTGAGCGAGTGGGAAAGGAAGGTGATGGGAGGTGTCCTGCAATCAGGGGCGCGGGTGAGAGTGACGCGACGGTCACATGACTTGGCCGTTTTGGGTAACTACATGATGAGATAGGGAAATAATGAAGGAATAGAGACACACAAGGAAAAAGATAGTGTTATTACTTATGCAGTCATGCTAATTTATTGGAATATGTGTCTAGAACTAAAATTAGTATGCTGCGCATTCACATGATGAGGCTCTACTCTGCTTGGCAAGAAAGCTGGGGGCTGAACAACTAGCCCTTTTCACTCCTCGTGAATACTTGTCACTAACAACTACAACGGTGATTATGGACAACGATGACTACGTCTTGGTGGATAGAATAGGCAAGTTTTCGTTCCTGATACTCAAACGCTCTTGCTGACTGTGACAATAGACGGTGCCCAAGACCTTCCCAGTAGGATTCCCACTTTTTCTCATCAAGACATCTACTGATCTTCTTGCCAGTCACTGCCGAGGACCTTGAAACCATTCGATCCTGGCTGTGTCCAACGGAATATGATTCGGAAGGGAGTGAATACCAAAAACATCTCAACTCCCACGCCCCGGGAACTGGCGACTGGCTGTTCCAAACAGACAAGTACAGGAACTGGCATGATTCTGGTCTTGGGGCCTTGTGGGTTCAAGGCATCCCGGGAAGCGGCAAATCAGTAGCCGCGGCCAATTTGATCCAGACCCTGAAAAAGGAGGATGTGCCTGTGCTATTCTTTTTTGCTCGGCGGATCATCAAGTCGAATAGCAACCCGCGACAACTGGCCCAAGACTGTTTGTCACAGCTCCTTGATTACAGCATTCCACTGCAGGCTACCCTGAAAAAGCTTCATCTGCAGCATTCGGCGATAGAGAGTGCTCCATTCCATGAGCTCTGGAGATCGTTACTTTTCGCCCTTTCGACCCTTCCCATGGTCTATCTGGTTTTTGATGCCCTGGATGAACTGGATACTGAGCAGTGCAACTTATTACAATGCATCTATGAGATCGGGAAACAAAAGCCAGAATCAATCAAGCTTATCATGACCAGTCGCCCGATACCCTCGCTGCAGAACGCCCTCAGGGGGCCGCACATTGTCAGAATCCGGCTTGAAGGAGGGGATGTCGAAAGCGACATTGCCACATACCTCAGTCATCGCCTCGCTAATGAACAGCGGAGCGGATTAACTTTGGAAGATTGTTCGTTAGTCAAGGAAGTTCTCTGCCAAAAGGCAGCAGGTCTTTTCCTGTACGCCCGACTGATGCTTGACGAGATCATCCACAAGCCACTTGCAGTGCGAGAGCATCTGGAACATCTTCCGGGCTCTCTGGAAGATATGTATGTGAACCTCCTCCATGAACACTCGGTACGTTCAGGAGCCAGTCGAAGTTTCCAGTTCTGGCTACTTTCTTGTATCACTCACGCAAGTCGGCCCCTTCGCGCCACAGAACTTGCAGCCTTGATCAATTCCCGTAGAGACCGAAGCGGGCTCAATGCTTCCCAAGATGCAAAACTCATGGCTCGCACGTCATGTGGTCCGCTTCTGGAGATATTGGATAACGAAACCGTCCAAGTCATCCACCACTCCTTTACGGAGTTTCTGCTGGATAGAGAACGCAAAAGTGCTGTAGAACCACCTCACTCCGACAAATGGTTCCCGGCTCTTTCACCCATTCCTATTCATCAAGATCTGGCGATTTCTTCCATTGATTATCTGCTGTCTGGATGTTTTGACTCGTGGTCTGTCAGTGATCGCGGTGAAAACTTGGAATACTGCTACGATCACTCCACCGAAAGAAATCTCATGATTCAATTCCCCTTCCTCAAATACGCATCGCAGAATCTGCTGTATCATGCTGCCAAATGCAGGATCATGACGAAAGAACTGATGTTGAAGCTGGATGGTCTCTGCCAGTATGGAGCTCACGATTTCGAGAGCTGGAAGGACTTCCTGCTCGTACACAAGGCAGAAGGCATTCCTGATAATTTTCGTGCGCTCCATATGGCTGGCAAAGCTGGGCTGGAAGGATACATTGTGCATCTCATAGAACGGGGAGAACAAGTGGATGCTGTAGATTCTTATGGGCGAACAGCATCTGCCTACGCTGCAATGAATGGGCATGCTGGGACACTAGCAAACCTCGTGGCTAGCGCCCCCTGTTTAACCATCTCTGACAAGGATGGCCTGTTACCTGTTCATCATGCAGCTAAAGGCAACCATGTCAAAGCGCTGCAGTGCTTGCTCGATATCGGTGCAGATCCAATGTCACCTAAACATCGAGAAGACCATGATCACTTCCATTTGCAAGACTCAACCATTGGAAAGACACCAATCCAATACGCCTGCGAGCTGGGCGCCGCGGATGTTGTCTCTGAGCTGTTAACACGTATGGATTCCTGTTCACGAAGCACCATACTTCCGCACTATGCCTCCGCGACAGGTCAATCCAAGACCCTTGAAATTCTGCTCCGGTATCCTGAAATTGTTGCCAACATCAACAAACACAATGATAAGGGGAAGACGGCGCTGTTTCTTGCCGCAGTCGTCGCAGATTCCGAGACTGTGCGCATTTTGCTTTCCCATGGAGCCGATGTGCATGCCAAATCCCACGAAACTAAATACGCCAGAGATGGTCCCGGCTTTCAGTTTTCCAGCGATAAGCCGGAATTAAATCCTCTTCAGGGATGGGCGAGAATCACGCTGTCCGGACGCGAGTCCCGTCCGGATAACACTCTTGAAGAATGGAAGAAAAGCGCAACTTACCTCATCGAGGCTGGAGCTGATGTCAATTCGAGACACCGGTCAAGCCCTATATTATTCGCTTGGGTGGATCAGTACTTCTTGGGCGTGGATCGCGCTGATGAATTTGTGTCCCTTCTTCTGCGTCACGGTGCCAATGCGTGTGCCACTGATTCTGACGGAAACACCGTGCTTCATCAGAATTTTAGGATGTCTAAAGGACGCTTCCAAGCCATCAAGATGCTCACGGTGGCAGGGGCCGATATCAACGAAGCTCGACCTAGTGACGGCGCCACGCCTCTCATCCTAGCGGCCAGGGCTCAATGCACCGATGTCAGCATGTATATCAACAATGGTGCGGACCCAAACCTGCAAGACCATAAAGGAAACACGGCACTACACTATATATGCACCTCGTGGTTGTTTGAGTACGAGGATATTCAAAAGTGGTTGAAATTCGCAGACCCCACCATCAAGAACAAGAAAGGCGCACTCTGTCTGTATAACCTCCGATATGGAAACGGTGGAGATGGAAGGGTGAACTCGATTCCATTGTTCATGGACAAAGGGCTGGATCTGGAGTCCCGGGATCGACTCGGAAGGACAGCTTTGCTTGCAGCCTGCAACAATGGAGAGTCTGAATTCATCACTGGACTGATCAAAAACGGAGCCAATGCCAAGGCCAGAGATTTCCAGAACAAGTCCGGTAAGTGCTTCGTACACTACCTCCATTGATATTCCGGGGGTTAGGCTCATCTCCCAAAATAGCTCTTCACATAGCTGCGCAAGTCAAGTTTTGGTCGGCGGATGCCCAAGCTCTCATTCAAGCAGGATGTGACATCAATTGTGTCGATTTCGAGGGCAACACGCCCTTCCATGATGCAATTCGCCCGAGTGTCTTTCCAGTCACCTTAAAGACAATTTTGGAGCTTGGTGGACTAGCAAACCTGACCACCAACCGCGGCGAAACAGCTTTGCATAAGTTAGTCCGGCTGCCAAACGTGGACCCTGACAGCGAGAGCATTCGGATCATCCCAGCTGTAATAGATTTCCTGCTTCAACCACACCTGGGTATAAATTTGCATGCGGCAGATAACGAAGGCATCGTGGCCATCCATTGCGCTGCCTCTACATCCGAGGCTTATGTTTGGAAACTCTACCGAGCCGGAGCAGATATAAATGTCCTGACGAACGATGACCGAACTCCTCTTCATTTTGCAGCAGGCGCTGGACATAGCAGTGCTGTCTCTCTGCTCTGCAAGCTATATTGCGAGAAATCGTACAGCGTGGATCAGAAGGATGAAAATGGCCGGACTCCATTGCACCATGCGGCTCTGTCTGGGAACCTCGAGAGTGTCTACTCCATATTGCAAGCTGGGGCGAATCCAAACATCGCAGACAAACATGGCTTGACGCCCCTACATCTAGCTGCCGAGCACCAGGTCAATACCTCGGCGTTCAGAAAGAACCGCAAGTACAGGAAACGACCTACGTGGGGAGGTTGTGTTCGGTCTCTCGCTGCGTACATAATTCCTCCTCCCAACACTAGACAAGATCGTGTTGAGTGGGATTTAAGCTTTGTGATCTGTCAAGAAGAAGAAGCCCGCATGACGCAAGACGTTGTTCGCTGCCTATTGGCAGCCGGTGCAGATCCAGCGATATGCGACAATCGTGGGCAAACGGCATATGATGTGGCTGTGTTTATCGGCCACGAGGAAGTGGTGGATGCGCTTTTGTCTTCACCAAATCTTGGCACGAAAAACAGTCTCATGCATCGTTGGTGTTCTACCCGATCCACGCACGCTGAGTCCATTGCTCGAGGCATCGAGGATAATAACACCGATGCATACGCCACCCTTCAAGCAGCTATCAGCACGAGAAACGAGGCTGTAGTCAAGGCTTTATTGGACACCGGACTTGACCCTATGTCTTACGGGCCCGAGGGCTTGACTCCTGTGCACTATGTTTCTCATTGGGGCCTTATGTCAATGATGAAGACAGTCGCGCCTTTTATCAAAGACATCAATGCGTTTTCACCTCCGCTTCTTCATGTTGCAACAAGCAGACAGCTGTCAAACCTCCAAATGGTCAATCTGCTCATTGAACTTGGTGTTGATGTGAACACCAAGTATGCAGAACGTCTCGGCGAAAACCGGTATTCCGGACACCATCGTCCCGTATACGCAGCCGCTCATGTTCTTGCCGTGGGCGAGAACTGGTGGAACATCTCGGCACTCGAGTCGATATGCAAGGCAGGAGCAGATCTAGAATCAACTGATTCTCGTGGACGCACAGTTCTTCAATGCGCGCTTTCTGGAGATCGAAGTGGATTTCTAGGGACTTCATTTTGGCGTGATGAGGCTCTGGAAGTTGTGTTGAAACACGGCGCAAAGATCAACGCCATTTCTCCTTATAGTGGCTTGACGCCTCTAATCTCCGCCTTGGATACCAAAAGAGGCCTGAGAGTGATCCAGAAGCTCCTTGACCACGGTGCTGACATGAGCCTATGTCCAGTGCCTCCCATAATTGTGGCAGTCGAGAGCGGTAACTGTGCGGTTGCATCGGCTGTTATTGACGCTGGGGCAGATGTCAACATCGTATTCCACCGCCCGAACGACGAGGGTTATTTTAGTAACTTCAAGGACGAAGAAGCGCCTCTTCTCGCTGCCTCTCTAAAAGGTGATCGGGCATCCTTAGGTACGGCGTCGCCAAGAAAGACCAGGGAGAAAATGGTTGTGCTTCTTCTGGAACGCGGGGCGAATCCCTGGATGGAACTGCGCAATGGAAAATCCACTGTGTTCCATGAAGTCTGTCATAACCACGGGCTTATTGCTCCGTTCATCGACGCTGGAATTGATCTAGAAGTGAGAGACGCTGAAGATCAAACGCCTCTCATGAGAGCATGCTCGACTTCGGCTCAATCCCGCGTCGTGAAGGGTGATTCTACGCCAAGCCAATTGATACTAGCTGGAGCCAATATCCATGCCACGGATGTCAATGGATCAACGCCCCTTCTACTTGCCACCCAAGCAGGCTTAATCAAGACAGTGAAGCTGCTACTGGAAAAGGGCGCCAATGTCTCTGCCACGAATAGCGAAGGTCTCTCGCCACTTTACTGCGCCCTCAACGGATCTAGTATAAAAGAAGACAACAGATTGGACCTCATTAATGCGCTGCTCTCTGCTGGTGCAGAGCTTCAAATTACCGGTCCGAACGGAGACACTCCACTGCATATTCTCGCTCCGACGCTCATGACACTCAGTCCTGACGGCGGCGTATATTTTCGTGACTTCGACAAGAGCTATCTTCCTGCGTACCAAGGTCTATATGAACACTTCATAGCAAAAGGCTGTGATCCCAATGCCCGCGACAATGCCGGAAACACACCTCTTTTTCCGTACGTCAAACTAACCAAGTTGCGATGCGACTATTTCGCGGTTGCTCCCCCTGCGGAGTCCGATGTTCGCCGGATGTTTGGTTACCATGATGTATTTGCTGTCAATAACGATGGCGATACTCTGCTCCACGCGGTCGCCGGGCGGGAAGATGATGAAACCAGTGAACCTGATGGACGATGGTTGTTTCAGGAGTTGCTGGCACGGGGGTTGGATCCGAGGAAGGAAAACAACAAGGGCATGAGTGCCTTGGATGTTGCTGCTGCTTGCGAGAGGCAGCTGATCTTGGATCTTTTTGCGAAAGAAGAATAGAGTTTTGGCAATTGTTAAACTCTAGCAATGATCATTCAATCCAATCCAGCCTTCTTTTTCTGTTCACTTCACCCGGCCACGGTTAAACTAGAGGCATTCAGGTTAATATTTGGTGAGGATACTCGGCCATTACCGAGAGGAGTATTCAATGCCCTATTGCAGTACTATTAATTAGCCGTAATCCTCCCCCAGAGTATCAGCAACGAGCATCTCAGGAACTGGCCACCATGACCGACTCGTTCCTACCACTGCTTGAATTATGGATTTAGGGTTTGGGTTGAGTTCTAGAGGAAAATGATCGACAAGGTACACACCCAAAAATGGATGCTGTCTCAGAGGCTCCTTGCCTCGACTTTGTCCGACCGCCAGTGCCTCGAAGGCATTGTTTTCCGGACGGCGCTCATAGGCCAGTGATATGGTGGCATGCAGGCTAAATCAACATTGGATTGGTCCAGTTGAAGCGTCATCCAGGAACCGCTCAAAGGTGATAGATCGAATCGACGCCACCCGCCGTCTGGCCCCTAGTTCCTTTTGCAAACCACTCCAGTCGAGAAGTCCTTTTCTTCGCTTACATTTGACGGTGAGTGCACACGCGCCCATGTATATTATGTTCGTGCTTGATCCCAAGAAGCTGGTGTTGTGGTCGATCTGACAGGTCAGGGAATCGGCTAATTGCCCGCATTCCAGTCGGTGACCTGGAGAATGGATCTGCGCGAGATTTTAGTATTGCGAATGATAGGAATTGGCATGGTAAACACAGTCAACTAAACATCAGCTTCATCTCACAACAGAAATATTATTGCTGCCCTGGTAGAGACGAAGTAAAGCAGTATGACCTATGCGGCTTGCTGAACAGTCCCGTTATCGGTCAATCTTTCGCGAGGGACTCGAGCAATGTATGCAAGTAATTATCGTCCTTACACACAACCGTCCTGTCCAATCGACAGCTCACTGGTCCAGCAGGTGTGGGCGTCTGTTATCCATACCCGCCCCTCCCCCTTCCCTAAAACCGGAAATATGCCCTAAACAATGAGAATCCATCACAGGGTCCCCGGTATTCTGGAATTTGGGATTAGCGGTGTCAATTCTCGCCGCTCGCTTTATATCTAGGGAGATTCTGGGGCTGGGCCCGGGGCTGCTTTCTGCTTAATTTTCTTTCGCTTTCTGTTCATTTCATTATTTCCTTCTGGCCCAATGGATCCCTGACGACATTATTCTGACTGGGAACTTGGTTTGTTAATTCTACCCTCCTATTATATTCGGACAAGACGTCTCATGTCTGAAGACAAACCGTGACTGGAGACTTGTTGTTATGTATGGATGTGTGAGCAGTTTCCGGCATATATCTATTCAGCCAGCTTGACTACGTTGGAGATACACGATCAAAGACTCGGCCGTGAGCAAATTAATCAAGATGCGACGTCAATCATTTCTTAGCATCATTCTTCTTTTCCTCCAATTTGTGGGCGCATTTGCTGCGCCCGCCGCAATCCAAGAGCCACAAAATCTCGATACCACCGAAACTTTCCACCGGAAACAATACCCAGCGACGGCAACGTTAGTGACAAGGACCGACGCGAATGATGTGTTCACGGCAACTACGAAAGACGTCGCAACGACGACAACTACCAACGATGCCGTTTCAAATACCAGGTCCCCTATAGCGACGCCAACGACGACCGTCCCTTCATTGGACACACCTATGACAGGTGACTCTCATCCCCAGCACGACAATTCAAACAAAACATACTCGGGAGGTCTTCCAATCTACCCTCAAATCAGTCCAGCGTTAGGGATTGGGGGTATCATACTCCTCTTCCTCGGAGGGACTCTGGCCTTCATTGGCGTACTCGAGAAATGGTACGTCATGGATTATTTGAGGTTAGCAAGAGTTGGCTGCTAATCTGGGTTTAAAGGATTCAAATATTGCTCTCAGCTGGATTCATAACAGCCTTGGGTGTGACTGTAAGTGTGAAAATGATCCATATATTAGACAAGCGTTGAACCTTTATTAGGTCTTGATTGAATATGTGATGAACCCTCCCGTGAGTAACGCCATTCAAGGCGGATACCTGGTCGCCATATTCATCACTGGATTGACCTTCGGTGGACTGGCCCTTATATTCAAAGAAATCACGGAAGGTTTCGGTTGCCTGCTCGGTGGATTCTGCATAAGCATGTGGCTTCTATCATTGAAATCCGGCGGTCTCCTCTCAAGCACCGGGCCGAAGGTTGGACTGATTGCTGCGGTCGTCGTGGGCTTCTATGCCTTATCATTCAGTCATTACACCAGAGCATACGGGCTAATTGCGTGCACTGCCTTTTCTGGTGCCACGGCGATTATGCTTGGGATTGACTGTTTCAGCAGAGCTGGATTGAAAGAGTTCTGGTTGTATATCTGGGGTAAGTCGATGGCATAATGATACAAAGATTCCCAGTTTTGACGTCCCTTCTAGGCTTGAATAAGGAGATATTTCCTCGACATACCTATACTTACCCCCTTACTCGCAGTATCCGGGTCGAGCTGGCCGGGATCGTCATCATCACTGCCATGGGTGTGGTATCCCAGCTGCGGTTGTGGCGAGTGATCAAGGAGCGCCGCTCGAAAGAAAATGATACACGAAAACAACAAGAAAAAAATAAAGAAGCGGCCGAAGAAGAAGTCGGTCGTCAAGTGGAAGAAAGCAATTCCCGAGAACGAGCCGAGTGGGAGAATATGTTCGGGAACAGTGATGAAGGGAAAGCGCCCTCGCTCTCCGAAACCGCCGTGGCTGATTCGCGAAGAGACTCCAATGGTTTGGGGTCCACAGGCCACGAAAAGGATGCAGTCGAAATGAAGGATATGGGCAGCACCGACGCATTGATGGAGCCCTCTTGTAGTGAGAAAACCCGGGAGACCGGTAATGATGCTCCTTCTGTGGGTGAGAGTTCACAGGCGTGGCATGATCAAAAACCAGAAGCAGGAGCAGCAGAACATCTGCCAGCGCTTACGATAATTATTACGGACGCTGGTTCAAACCATGATGACGAAAACAATTCAGAAAATGGCGCTATTGCGGGATCTGAGGGACACTCGAGACGCTTATCAGGGAGGTCCCTTTTGCGTCGATTTTCTCGTCAGAGCAGTAGTGGCGCCAAACGCTCCTCTCAGTCACAGTCAGAAGAAGCGCTTGTTGCAGCCGAAGATTCTGAATCGTCTATGGCAGGCATTGCGGATGATCAAGAGTCGATTTCCGACTGTCCAACCATCTCATCCGATATTCTAAACGAGCCAGCTGGCGAATGCCAACAGGATCTTCCAATGGAATTGCCCGACAATCCAGCCAGCAATGAGAACCAAGCTATTTCCCACCCCGAGCACATTGAGGAGGATATCACTGTCCAAGCAAAGAGCCTGGATGGATGTTCGTCAGAGGAGACAAAAACCATGAGTTCTGCGTTGCAGGAAAAAGATGGCCTCAAGGACGAACCGACTCGATTGGACAGATCCAGCGTGCAAGGCATTCCGGAGCAGACATCCAAGGTGGTCCATTCATATCGCACCACAGAATGGGCAAAGAACCTAGAAGAGGCGGATGTCCCGGACTTTGAGCACATTCCGGTGGATGATGAAGTGAAGGAAAGCACGTCCGACAACGAAGAGGCCGCAGTGCCCGTCGACATTGAGCAGCTATTACAGACACCCTTTACTGCTCAGCCGCCACAGCCAATGACAAGGTCCCTGTCTACGGACATGAGCAATCGTCGCTCATATGCCCTTTCACCAAAACCGGCACCCGGACTGCGTCGCACGACCTCCAGCAACAGCATGTCCAGTGGCTCAGTAACCAACCTGCCCAAGTCCGTAACTCGTGCTTCAATGGCCTGGAGGAACCAGTCGTCTGAGTCTCTTGGCATGCGACAAGGTAACAGCAGGATGGCACCGACACGCAGCAGGTCGACTCCATACCTGACGGTTACTGCTCCCGGCGATGGCAACGGCACGCCAGACTCAAAGAGATTGAGCGGAACGCCTTCACTCCTGGCAGTGAGAGAGAGAATGGTCCGCAACCGAAAATCCATGCTATCGCTACGGCAGGACCACCGGATGTCGCGGAGCGGGTCATCGCGCACATCACTCGCAGAGCCGTATCCGCTTGTACCGCCCACTTTCTCGATCCCCGAGGAGCGAGAGGATGAAGAGGGTGAACAGCGCGGGAAGGAGCCAAATGACGACGACGACGTGCCGCTCTCCAAACGCCGCGCCATGCTCCAGCGGCAGTCCATGCACTCGCCCTCGGCAGTCAGTCTCCAGAGCATCGATCGATCTGGATCTCCACGACCCCCGACTCCTGATTCGGGTAGGTCAGTCATGATGGCGGCCTGGCGACAGTCGGTCCGCGAGGACCTCTTCCAGCGCCGTGATCCATTGGCATTCTCTCCGCCGATGGGCTCGGACAGGCCACGCAGTCTTTGGGGATCGGTGCAACAGATGCAGGATGCCTCGGCTGCGCAGCTGGGCCAGAGCATTGCAGATGGAATGCAGCGGGGCAGCATGACCGACCTGCATCGACAAGCCATGCGGAGGATGCAGGCGACGGCCCATCAACACTTGTAGCTGATGTTGTTTCTTTCTTGTTGTGTGATAGATATACCCTTTTAACAATTTTTTATTTCATTTTTTTTTTTTTTTTTTTTTTTTTTACATCCGACCTCTCCTTGCAGCCTGCAGGCATGAAACAAGGGCTATCCCGGCGATTGGCGCAAACACGGGGCACTTGTATGAGGTAGACGAGTCTAATTATTACTATCCGGGGCGTCCGGTCTTTATTAGGGCTCGTTTGTTCCGGATCGTAGATTTATTTAGCTCGGCCTCAAATTTGAGGCTGCCAAGAAATTCCAAATCATCTCAATTCTTTTCAATTCGGAATTCTTCAATTCATTCATTCATTCATTGGACTTCGTTCTCTTTCTGTTTTCTTCTCTTTTTATTGTGTGTGTCTCTCTCTATGTGCGTCCGCTCGTTTCTCCTCGCCGCCCATCCCCAACACTCTCTTTTTCCTCTTCAAACACGGCGTCCTTCACTTCCTCCTCCTCTTCTCTATCGCCGCGGCAGGCACAAGAACGCTTGGTCCGTGGTCCCCATTCCTTAGTAGCCACTCGCGCCCCCGTGGAGGCGACTTCGTCATTTCCCCGAGCACAGCGGCGGCAGTGCGTCCCCATCTCGGGCCAGTCGTCGTTCCCTGCCATCCTTCGCCCGCCCGCCGTCCGACTCGCCAACCCTGTCAACCACGTCCCCCGAATCACCCCGATCAGCGTCCCACCTCGCCAGCTCTCATCCGATAGCCTACCCCTCGAGTCTCCGTTGCTGAGCATCCCCGAACGACGACGCAGTCGCTTCAGCCCGTCCCCGTCCAGTCTGATCGTGGAGCGCAGTCAGGGCGAGAGCGAGAGCAGCCGCACCAGTATCGGTCTGCCTCTAGGCCGGCGGCGTAGCCAACATATATCACCCGCGGACATGGCTGCAGCATTTGCCGGCAGCGCGGCCAAGGAGGTGGAAAACCTCCAGCCCCCTGCCGAAGTCCATCTATCGCAAGATGGCACTCGCCGCCAGAATAATGACGACCGGCCTCGCCACGTCCAGTCACAAACTTCTCTACGCTCCCAATCCCAGATCGCTTCCGTCCCCTCGAACACCGGCCAACCCGCCCCTGACGTCGCCGAAGAACTGGCCTGGGGCCCCGCTCACCCGTGTTTCCCGCATCTGAACCCGCATGTACCGATTGGATCTCAGGAGTATCTCACCACGCGCGTGATCCGGATTCGACGCGACTGGATGATCAAGGGCGACTTGGCGCCGACCTTTTCGAATCTGTATCCCGAGATTTTGGACCCGCTATTGTCAGAACAAGAGTTCCGCCAGGTGATTGCCACTGTGAACGAGGGCCTCATCAAGGCCTTTGACCCGTTCCGCCTCCGCAATTGGTTCGATGGCGCGATGGGCCTGCTGACGGGCTGGGTGTGGGACGACATCAATGCCCCTGGGATCAAGAGCCAGCTACAACACGTCGAGACCTGGCTGGAGAACTGGAATCGAGAGGTTGGCGCCAAGGACGGAGTGCACATCTGGAGTCTGCGGCGAACCGCCTACATGTCTCTCGATATCCAGATCCCCGATCCCAAGGTGGGCATTGTACCCAGCGAGGATCCCTCTCAACCCAATACCAGGCCCAGCACCGGCATTGGGCCTGGTACTTGATTCGGTGCTTTTGTGTGCGATTCCCCATTGTCTTCTTTTTGTCTATCTTTTTGTAATCTTGTCACTCTTGTCCTGACCTTCTCCATGATATCCATCCGCGACTCTTGGTTATATCTCACTTTTGATACTGTTTGTAGTCTCTTCTCTGGACCTTGTACATACAATTGCTCTAGCGAGCATCGATAAAAAAATCTATCAGTCTAGTAACTATTCCCTGAGTTATGTTATACTACCCAACGTAGTACCTCCAGTGTCGAAGGCGGTGTCCGTCGATCCCGCCCCCCACATCTTCACATCTTCAACCGTCGAAGCTCCTGAAGTGTTATGCACCACCCACCACCATGCTCTCGGGCATCCTCATCTTCAACCAAAAGGGTGAGAACCTCATCTTCCGCGCCTTCCGCAGCGACTGCCGCCCGCGCCTGGCCGATATCTTCCGTATCCAGGTTATCTCCAACCCGCAGGTGCGCTCGCCTATCCTGACCCTGGGCTCTACAACCTTCAGCCATGTCAAGCACGAAAATATCTACCTGGTCGCCGTGACCAAGAGCAACGCCAATGCCGCACTCATCTTTGAGTTCATGTACCGGTTTATCATGCTGGGGAAGAGCTATTTCGGCAAGTTTGACGAGGAGGCCGTGAAGAATAATTTCGTCTTGATTTATGAGTTGCTGGACGGTAAGTCTTCTGCTAAGGGTTCAAGTTATATGGTCATGCTCATAATCCCTTCTCACCTACAGAGATCCTCGACTTCGGATACCCGCAGAACACCGAGACCGACACCCTGAAAATGTACATCACCACCGAAGGCGTCAAGTCCGTCATCGCCAATTCGCCCACAGACTCCAGTCGTATCACGCAGCAAGCCACTGGTGCGCTGTCCTGGCGCCGCTCGGATATCAAGTACCGCAAGAACGAAGCCTTCGTCGACGTGATCGAAGACGTCAACCTCCTGATGTCCGCAACGGGGACTGTTCTCCGCGCCGACGTGAACGGGCAAATCGTCATGCGAGCATATCTATCCGGCACGCCGGAGTGCAAATTTGGACTCAACGACCGACTCCTCCTGGACGGCGGCGCACCCGCCAGCGGAGGCAAAAACGGAGCGGGCAGTTCGGGCGGCGCGCTAGCTACATCCAAAGCGACGCGCGCGGCAGCGGGCTCCGTGACGCTGGAAGACTGCCAGTTCCATCAGTGCGTGAAACTAGGCCGGTTCGACGCCGACCGAATCATCTCGTTCGTGCCGCCGGACGGCGAGTTCGAGCTGATGCGGTACCGGGCCACGGAGAACGTCAACCTCCCGTTCAAAGTGCACCCTATCGTGCGGGAGATTGGCACGACAAAGGTTGAGTACAGCGTCGCGATCAAAGCGAACTACAGCGCAAAGCTCTTCGCGACCAACGTCATCGTCCGCATCCCCACGCCGCTCAACACCGCAAAGACCACCGAGCGCACCTCCCAGGGCCGCGCCAAGTACGAACCGGAGCATAATAATATCGTCTGGAAGATCCCTCGCTTCTCGGGCCAGAGTGAATATGTCCTCACGGCTGAAGCGAACTTGACCTCCATGACGCATCAGAAGGCTTGGAGTCGCCCGCCGCTGAGTCTGTCGTTTGGTTTGCTGATGTTCACTTCGTCGGGGCTGTTGGTAAGGTATCTGAAGGTCTTTGAGAAGAGCAATTACAGCTCGGTGAAGTGGGTACGCTATATGACTCGCGCGGGGAGCTACGAGATCCGGTAAGTGCTTATGGTCACTGTGTTGTGTCTGAGATGATGCTGATGAATTATCCTTTCTGTCAGGTTTTAAAAACATCGCGTGTTGTTTTCTCTTGAGTCGAGTCGAACATTGTCTCATCTATGCTTGTTTGGGGAATCAATCAATCAGGCCGGTGTCTGGCGTTAGGTCAAGCCACATACATTTTTCTTCTTTTTCTTTCTTTCTTCAGCATACCATACCTACTGTGCCGTTAGTATCCATGTTTCCTGACGCTAGAAATCAAATTCTTTTTTCTGTTTACCGTCTTGTGAGAGCACAAATTACTTAGTTCTTGTCATGGACAGCGAACGACGTGTTAGACACGTCGCGCCTTTATTCTGACGGTATGTAATATTTCAATCTTGTCCTTTCAAGTTTAAATGCAAGTATGTACTACGTTATTTTCTACAGGATGACTGGGAGCAGGGTATACTAGGTTCATAGACGAATACCTCGATATATATATCCTTTCTCCACCACTATCTACGTCAATTTTAAGTGACAGCACCGAAGTTGCGAACAATGCAGCCAGTCTCGAGCGCAGCGTAAGTATACGAGGATATATAATTGAAGATCAATAGTTATAGTGGTATCATTCTTGAATAAGTAGAAATACAAGCCCGGCCGGGCAAAGATGGATATACTAGTACAGCGTCGGCGCCGCAAACAGCGTGCAAAGGCAAGGGGGGAGCAAAGAGGGAAGAAAAGGAACGACCAGCAGAAAAAGGAATATGCATGAAATCGAGCACACGAGGGAGGGAAGCAGACAGAATGGAAAGTCAGGTCAGCTGAGAGAGTTGCAGCGAGGGACAAGTTGACCGAAACAAAGAGTTATTCGCATAGCCTGATGCGAATAGACAAGTAAGTGGGTAGGTAGACAGATAATCGAGTGCTGGTGTAATGGTCCAAGAAAAGAAAAGAAGAGACACGAAAATGAGAAAGAAAGAATAATGCAAAACAGTTTTTCCTCGCAGACCCAAAAAAGAAACGAGTCATCATATAATACAGGATCCCAATCCAAAAAAAGCAAAGAGAGTAAGTAGTTTACCGTCTCCCCCGCCGCAACCCGACACGACCCTCTCCGACAAGAGAGTTCCAGCGCCGGTTGACGGTAGCAGAGTTGCTGCGACCCATTTGACGAGCGCAGTCATTCCATTCCTGCTGGGAGAGACGGAACTTCTCAAGGACCAGATCGATGAGATGCTGGTCGTCCTCATCCGACCAGCTTGTTTCTGGTGGTGGACATGAGGACGAGGGCTGTTCGTCTGCCTCTTCGATGGACGGGAGGACGGTATCACAGAAGGAAATGGGTTGTTCGAGCGGTTGTGGTTGTGGCTGTGGTTGTTGATGCGCGGGTGAAGGAGGAGACTGAGTGATCGGTGGAGAGTGCAGAGAATAGAAATCTGTGCAGGAGAGGCCGAGAGGCAAGTCGTAGGGGACGTACCGGCGGCGTTTAGGGGTCGAGAAGCGACGCCGCTGATCATAGTCGGTCTCATCGTCGTCGTCATCCGCACTGGCTCGTCGCCGTTTATTGGCGCCGCGCGCAGGCGCAGAGGGTGGTGGCGGGGGTGTTAGGGCGAGAGTGGCAGGTGGAGGAGTTGGGCGAGGCGATGCTGGGCGCGCGACTTTGCGCGATGAGCGTCGCGGCGACCGGCGCGGGGGGTTGATGGGCAGTGGGCTCTGGAGACGCTGGGCCTTGGTTGAGCGGCGCGTCGAGGGCGCAGGTGATCCGTTCAAGAGAGACTGCAGTGCGCGACAGGTGCCTAGCAGGCCGTTGCCAGAGGTGTTGTGGTCGACCGGGGGAGGCGTCGAGAAAAGGCGGCTGGGAGTGAAGCGAGACGGCCGGCGCACATCGCAGGAGAGAGCAGATGGAAGGAGCATGATGCCGGAAGGAGATTATGACCGTGTGGAAGGGAGTTGCTGTGGTGGGAGTCGCAAGAGGTGAAGAAGTGCGACGGGGATTTGTGCGCAATCCCTGATTTGCGCCGGAGGCCGTTGCAAGGCGCGTCGATGCAGTTGGCGAGAATTAAACGAGTGGAGGATGATGGCGGCAGTATGCGCTTTCGAATGCGCCAGTTCCGAAGGCGATGCGACAGTGGGAAGGGTGGAGTGTGCAGGGAGAGAGGGAGTTGTTAAGGGGAAGAGGAGACGGACCGTTGGGGGGGGGGGGCAGAAACGACAACACCCGCAAACGGTCAAGCGAGCATCACCCGCATTGCTCCACCGGGCTGGACAACAAAGGTTCTAAATATGTTCTGAATGAATGAACCTGGGGGCCAAGAATGAGAGAGAAAGTAAAGTGTTCCCAGGTTTAGAGGTGATGTCAACGAATGACGATGCCTGTTGGTCTTGGTGGTTCAGCCCTGGTTCTGTCCTTTCCCTTCCTTCTGGTGATAATTCCCTCGTTTCGCCCTTGGCTGGGGGCTTCTTTATAAAGAATACATTCTTTCTACTGGCCCTTTTTTTACTTCGTCCTTGAGACCCCTCCTGCCCTCGTGGCCATGAAACAGCTCTCCCTGTTCTGCCGAACGCAAGGACGCTCCCCTCGCGAGAATGCCCACGAGGCGGTTCGGCCCCCTGAGACTGCACGACACTAGGGGCGATCCTCGTTACATTGCCCTTTCGGGACGACGCGTTACAATCTCGTGTCCCTGCGATCAGCGTTATCGATTGCGCCTGCTGATCGCGCACGTTCTGTCCTGTCATCCGGGAGACTCGGTCTGACAGGACAATCCGGGTCCCGGGACACCGCTGTCTTATGAATGACAGAGCCCATAATCCACAGGGCAAGGGGAGACTTTTCCACCATCCTTTGTCTGCTCACCCTTCTCAACGAGTCATGCCAGCCCTTTTCTGCCCGTCCGTCTGCTTTGTTCCCAGTTGGACGCCCAACTGTGCTCGCGGATTGAATCGGGTTCGAATTTTCACCACGTTGACGCGACGCGTCTGAGCGCGTCGCGCGTGTGGGGCCAATCCCAGCCGTGTGCCTGACGATCCGATGTCATCGTTGAGCCACTTGAGGTCATCGTTCGACTCACGACAACAGCAATGTGCATGCATTGGGCGCCCGGAAGGACTGGCTTCTGGTCTGATCTGCGCCTGGCTTATCGCCTATCGTCATCGGGGAATATCCCTCGGTACGGTTCTCCTTCCATGACGATGAGGCTTGTCCCCCCCGGTCCTTGCGTCCGGCAGGACGGTGACTGGAGTGAATACACCAGACAGAGGATATTGTCGGTACCTGCCTTATCTTGCCGATCTTTTACAATATACACAGTGTGTTTTGTTTTGCCATTGTGGAGTGCAGAGCCTACCGGCACCATTTCATAGACTGCCGACGCTCAATATCAATCAATATACACGACTTCTTATCTGTGAACAATCATTTATCGGTCATTGACAATAGCGAACTGTATCACACTTATTGACTAAACTCATCCATCAAGTCTCAATGGTGGAGAAGAAGGGATATTCCTCCTTCCGCCGGCTTCAAATCAAGGACCTTCTGTTCCACACCCCTCACCCTTCCGATATTATTGAAAGGGATCCGAACACAGAAGTGGCTGGTCTGAGTACAACATGTTTACAAGGAGTGTTGCCGCTCCAACGCTCGGCCCGGGAGTCCAGCCTCCCGGTGTTTTCAGAAATCGCATGCAAGGGGTGATCCGATCTAGTGAGACCCCGAGCCCATTCATAGGCTGCGCCTAAAGAAACACAAGATTTTGACAGGCACAAGCAATTCTCCGATTGCTTCTAATGCAAGACATCGCCCTTCCCACAACGGCCGCTAAGGCAGATCGTCTCCACTGTCAACTGCCGCTGTGGCTGGCTGGTGCGTTGCCTGTACGACGACTGAACCCTAACACTATACCCAGTCTCACGCTTTCGGTGACTCCCTGGAGACCCTACTCCCTTGTCGAGTGTCTTGCACCTCTACTGAACTCCCTGTATGTGAGAATCGACATTCCAGTCATGCTGGGCGCGGGATCACTCTACTGCTATTGATACAGGGCTGACCCCAGTGCTAGTGTATCCCTTGGCCACTGAAAGTGGTGGCCAGCTTGATGACTGTTATGCTCAGCTCCACGGGGCGACGAGGCTATTGTGGATATCCCACTGGATGCGGTGCCATTTGAGACACGGCCAGTGGTATCGAGTCTGACATTCGGTCGTCCGCTCCCAGGCAACACCGTTTGCCGTGAAAATGTCAGAGTGTGATTAAATCCAAATGGGCTCATTGAATTAATTACGAGGCATTTACTCACTCACTTCATCCCTGGCCACACACCTGACCATTCAACGTCCATCTCGGGGCCACCGAAACCCCGTCCAAGACAAACCAGGGGCGAAAAACTTCGTGCCCTGCGCACTAACCACACAACACCATCCCCACTTCCAACTGATGATGTGTTCCAACTCAGGCCCCGTCCATGATCGTGATCTAGTGGCGTGTCATGTCTTCCCTCGCCTCCTCCTTGAAGGAGGGTCTCCTGTCTTCACGACCTAGTGGTTTGGCAAGGTTACTCCCAATCAATGACAAAACATAAAAGTCTCTCAACCCTAGTTACTCATTCGGGCTTTGCCAAGGAGATCTGGTCTCAAGGCCCCTAGGAACAAGCTGCCCACTAACCCCGGTCATCGTATCCACAGCGCGTCTCCTCTGGACCCAGTTGACGATCTCCCTTTCGTCGGTCTCACTTGATCGAACCCGACTAGCTCTCTTGAGACAAGCTGGCGGTTCTCATCCTGCCTGTGTGGCCATGTTCCATGTTCCAGGGCCTAAATATTCAGGTATTTCATTTTATTGATCGTCCTCGCCTGACTGACTACAAGACAAGACAGCTTGTTTCCGTTATCTGCTTTTCTTTTTCGAGTCGAGAGCAATTGTCTCACGAGCGCCTAGCTTCTAACCTTCGGTTTTGAGATACCTCTTGAGTGGCAATGTTTGTGGCAAGAGAACTGGTTGGTTGGATTGTTGGTTTCGTATCCCTTTCTCTGATCGATTGGATCTGTTCTTGCGCCGCTTCGCCCGAGACCGGACCTCAGTACTACTCTATTTGCGTATCTACGGAGATGCCCAAGGGATGGATGACTTGACATGAAAGGAACGCTCTAATCTTTACATAACCGTGTGACACTTAAACTTTGCATTTTACACGAACGCGCGATACACATGCAACGAAGTTCCCCGAATCCATTTGTCCCGGCTGTCGGCGTGCTTCGTCAGTGGCTTCTATGCTATTTGGAAGTTGGAGACACAGCACATTTAGCAAGACTGAAATCCTCGATTACGAGCTTCGCTCTTGCAATGAACCTGCCCGTAGAGGCGTGGACGAAAACGTCCAAGGACGTAGGATTGCAAAACGATGTGAATCCCTAGATTCGAACCCGGTGGCTTGTCTGCCTCCCGATATTTCCAGAATCGTATTCATCGTTTGGCCAGTCGAGCAAGTGAAGCCAGGTGAGTTAAGGGCATAGTGAAGTTGAGCCCTATTCATGGTGGCTTGTTGGAGAGTCTGTACCAACTGGTATACTTGGTACGAGAGCTCATCCACCCTCTGAGTATGACGTTTACCATCTTCTTCGATGCGACCCGTAGCAGACCTGAGATCACAAATCAGTCCTATTTATGCAGGAAGAAAGGTACGCATAGGAGGACGGACCATATGAAAGTGCTTAGGAGGAGATTGATCGAATCAGTATGGACTTGAAGTTTCTGCCGGTACTTGGTTAGGGTGTCGCCTCGTATATCCCATAGAATCCTCTTCCATTGGATTCTGAATTGGGCTCTGAACTGCGGAGCAAATATCACGCCGCCAACCCTTTCCTGACTGTGGGGCGCTATGCGTGGAGGATCGTCGGCTGCTTCTCGATATTTGGCCGTGGCATTATCGAGCTCTTCTAATGTCTCCCGACAGGACTTGATCATGTACACCAAGTGCTGATTCACCTGCGCCGAAACAATTTCGGACTCTAGAGTGGCCCTGGCCACAATGGTCTCGTGTTCTTTGCGGAGATGGTCCAAGGCATAGCAGAGGCCGAATAAGGCGTCCCCGAGCTCTTTTAGTTCGCGCGGTGCTTTCTTGCGTCCATTAGTGACGGAAGAGAAAAGGCGATGGGCCATCTGGGTGCAGAGAATTATGTCCCCGACCGAAAAACCAAATGACATAATGATATGGAGATGCGGTATAGAAGCAATGGAGAAGGGAAGGTGCGTGGAAATTATCGAGGAAGATGTGGTTGTAATGATATACTGGGGGAAATATCTACGGCGGAAGAAGTAATCAGAGCTAAAGTAATTAAAGCTTGCAGTTGCCCGCATACCAGAATGTGACTAGAGAATTACGTGACCTCTGCGCCCTGTTGGAGCACTACCCTGGCCATCCGGTTCGTATAGAAAATGGCATGACGTGTCCAGCCTCACTCCCAGCGAACTTCTTTCTCCAACTGCACTAAATTCAATCGAAACCCTGGATCTGTCAGGCTAGGTTGGGGTGAATTTGAGAAACAGCCCGTCGGTAATCCGGCGTAGGGCAATTTTGCAAGGCACTATAACAACATTCAACGCTGAAAGAGATCCCTCGATGCTTAGTTTTACTTTCTTTCCATCTAACAAATATGATAGTTATTGTATTGAGTCTGCCCCCTTCCATGAGGATATCTATACTCCCATCGAACCCATATTCTCCTTGCCTCCATACCCACCAGCAGATTATAACAATGAATCAATCACTCATCCCAGCCAGCTCCCCCAAACTCCTCCCTCCAGTCCCTCCATATAATATGAATGCACCCACCTCTCTAATAATGCATACCGTACCATAATGGTCTAATGCATATAAGTCTCCACCGTAAGATCACCATCTTCACAGATTGCGTATAACGACCATCTCATCTCGTCTCATCTCACACGAAAGCAGCTGCTATGTCCATTCCGCGTCCGTAAACGCGTCGCTGTCGCTTCCCTGTCACGGGATTTCGCACTTCTTCGTATACCTGGTCGTCTTCGTCCATGGGGTTTTCCTTGCTGCTTGTCCATGTAGTAGGTTTAGTACCGTGAGTTTGTGGTGGTGAAGAACTTTCATGAAGAAGGGGCCTCTTCTTCGTGTCCCGAGATACTTCGTGTGAGGACAAAGACAACCGATGGCGTGGGCTTGGATCCACGTGCTGATGGTGTTGGATTCGAGTGTGGAAATGGGTACCAGGCAATCGGGTCGACGGGTGGTTCTGCACAATCACTTTCTCACCAGGACGAAGGGGTTTCGGCTGAATATGATTTGTGATTCTGGTGTTCACATGCACTGGACGCAGATTACTCAAGGGCTGCGCTGGGTGATCTCGGACCCCTTCGCGTTGATGAGTTCGTGGTCCAAAAGCAGCCAACGCCATCGCTTCAACACCTGCTCCTGTTCGCGTATGCGCTGGAAGCAGCGGCTCTGCAAGCGTGGACGTCGACAGCAAAGAAGACCCCGGCTTATATTCCGGGGCATCCTCATACTCCGACTCTGAGACGTGATCAATCGATACCTTCCGAGAATGATCCTCCAGACCACGAGCACGCACACGCACTTCCAGCTGCCCACCAGCCTGCGCGGTCCTCGCACTCGCACTCTTCGCATAACTCGCAAGATCAACAATCCCACCCCCAGTCCCATCCGGATGTACAGGCCTCCTCCACTCCCTCACAATAGTGCGATACAGTTCCTCGAACCGGCGCGCGTGTTCAATATTCGTGAACCAGCTATGGCGCAGCGCCTGCTTCACATCCAAGCGCCTCTCCTCATCGGTGATCAGGAGTTTGCGCAGTAAATTTCGCGCCAGCGGGCCGGTATTCAGTCGATCGAGCTCGTCTTCCAGGTCTTCGAGATCGCTGGGTATTGAGTTGAAGGGCTCGTTGAATGGCGTGTACCCCGTCAGCACCACGGCGGTCACGCAGCCCAGGGACCAGAGGTCTACGGCTTTGGTGTAGCCTCTTCGGTTGGGGGTATTCACTTCCCTGTTTTGGGCGTGTGAGATGGAGCTTAGTTACATAAATAGTGGGGAGATGAATGGGATACTCACGGGGCGCAGTATTCGGCTGTGCCGACGATGGTGGACATGCGCTGCATGGGAGGGTTGACGTATCTGGCGCATCCGAAGTCAGTAAGAACAACTCTGGCTCCATCGTCCAGTGAGGTCATCAGGGTATTGTCAGGCTTTAGATCGCGGTGCACGATGTTCTGATCATGGAGATAGTCTAGTGCGAGCAGGATCTGGTTGATGATTACTGCAGCTGGTATGTCCTCAAGCCGTCCGCCTTTGTAGTTGAGGAAGGAGAAAAGATCGCCCGCTGTGACGAGCTCTTGGAATATGTAGCTGTAGTGTAAATTTTCAGCATGTGATTTGGACTTAGGTCTCTGTGGTTCGCTTACATTGTGTTGCTAGATCGGATCACCTTCTCGACGCGGATGATGTTGGGCTGGGCATTTTGTCAGTATTGGTCTTCGGTTTTGGGAATAGAGGCAAGCTCACATGAGATAGTTTATGCAGAATCAGGGCTTCCTGCTGGTATGTCTCCAGTCTTTCGCGAATGGATGTCAGGTGAGAGCTCTCTCTGCGCACGGCGACCAATGCTTTGGAAGCTGTGCCGTGACGACCAGTAAAGAATTTCGACATCTGCCCTTCGTTCGCGGTCTCAGGGACTTTTGCTTTGGCGAGCTGCAACTCAATAATCTTGCAAGCGAGTTGCTGGCCATCTTTCTTTTTGAACGCCATATGAACTCGTCCGTAGGCACCAGAGCCCAGAATGCGCGGAGTGATAACATAATGGTCATTGAATTCCTGACGAGATCACAGTTAGGGCAATGAATGAATCCACGAAGTGGGGAAAAAAAGACAAACCCTCATTTCAATCCGCTGCAGACAGCTGAACGGATCGGGTCTATTGTCTCTTGCACAATTGAACCGCAGGTACTCGCCTTGTGTGATTCGCAGCGTATCGCCATCGCTGAGCAAAAAGCTGCCTTTCCCTCGTCCCATGGGATACTCATTCCACAGCGTCCCGTTCAGGGAGAGATCCTGGGCGTACACGAGAGGAGGGATCTCATGTAGGATTTCTCGGTCGTAGAGGATGGTGTAGATGCGGAGATGCTTGTTGGAAACGAAGCGGTTGGGGATCACGAACTGGCTGTATGGTTGTTAGCCATGCAAGTAAGGAAGAACACAGAATCATACCAAGCTCGCTTGTCTCGTCCGATGTAGATGTCATCCGTGCTGTATATCTCCCGTGGTGAGCTGGTTTGATGCGTGGATGGGTCCCAGCGGGTGAGTGTGCCCACCAGGCAGGTTGATGCTGGGGGCAAGGAAGAGGACCAGAACAGCTTGAACATGATGGTGTAACTACGAAGGAAGAAAGACGTGATGGGATGACGGAATAGAGAGAGGGAGGGTGTTTCATGAAGATGATTGTGATACCATGTGACTATCAACTATACAGTTACTTCGCCCGGCGCATTCGTTCCTCTGCTGCTCTCGCCCGTCGCTCGCGCTCCAGTCGCATCCGCATCTCTGGGGTCATCCCTCGTGTCTCTTCATCTCGTTTCTCGGCTGCAGTCTTTTCCACAGACCCCAGGGTGCGTCCACCAGGTTTACTCGATGCCCGCTGCGCTGCTCGTTCGGCATCCTCTTGCTTGATCCGATCCATGTCAGCCTTGCGTCGATCCTTCTCCTCTTCTTCAGCTGCTTTACGCTCCCTCTCAGCCCGGTTTTCCGCGTCTGCTTTGGAAATCGGCGACGGCACTTTGGCTGCATTCCAGTCCCACTTCGACTCGCCTAGCTCGTGGCGGGCGATACGGAATGCATCTCGGGTGGCTCGATCCCCAGCAAGCTCAAATGGTGTCCGGCCCTCGCTGTTAACGGCGATTGGATCCGAGCCGGCGCGAGTGAGAAGCGCTAGAACGACGGCTGCTGAGTTGAGATTTGCGGCAAGATGAAGGGGTGAAGGACAGCGGAAATTCTGTGGGGAATCGGTGGGCTGGAAGGTGAACGTCGAGGGTATGGAGTTGTTCGTGATATAAGACATGAGGGCGGGGATTTTTGAGCGGCGAATAAACGCCTGGATTTGCGTCGTGTGTAGTTGTGCAGCCTCTTCTTCCGGGGATAGCTTTGGCTTCTGTGGTTGCGGTCGAGGTGTCGATGGCTTAGATGATTCCTCCTGTCGTTTGGCCTCCGCTGCTGCGGCTGCGGCTGCCAACGCAGCCTCATCCACCTCGCTCACTTTGACACGAGTGAGTTCCTTGAAGCACCGCATTAGCTCACCCTGGGTGGCTCGGCGCGTGTTGAAGGGGAAGCCTCTGATCCTCGGGTCATTCTGCCGAAGAACCTGGCCATCATACTGCCCAAAGAGAGTCTTTCGATTGGTCTTTCCTGTGGCTCGGATGAACAGCAGCTCTGCACTATCGATCATCTGCTTCCAATCTGCCAGCAGTTCTCGGACATCCTTCTCAAGCGCCGCCTCGTTGTATCGTCGCAGACTCGAACCGGCCGAGTGGGCGGCTCCCCGGGAAGCGTCACTGGCGGATTGGGAACCACCTTGCTTCCGACGTGTTGTGTAGCGATGGACAGTCTTGTGTGCAATCACCCGGGCCTGTCTCTCCTCGATGCCTCCTTGTTTCCGGTGAATTTCGGGGGCCAGCGACACCAGCATAGCAGCAAAGTGGCCCCCACCGATCATGCACATGAAAATGTGCGGGCTCAGCGCAGAGGTATCTTGCTGAGCGCTCGCATTGTTGGTGCGAGCCTGGATCGGAGCCAACTGCTTTCTGCGCAGGGAATCCACCAGATGATCTGGCTCGGCTTGCTCGACGGCGGAGAAGATCGTCCTGTAGACACCCAGCGACTTATTCGACGGTAACTTTGAGCTCGACAACCAGAACAGCGGGTGCTTGGGGGATCCTCGTTTCACCGAAGTCTCCGTCTCCCCCTCGTTCGCGTGCGACAGCTTGGCCTGTTTCTTCAACAGAGCCGCCAGGGTTGTATCGCCACCCCCGTCTGCCTCCTCGTCCTCCGATTCCGACGACTCCGACCCGGAAATGGACTCATCCAGCTCGCCGACCGCCTTCGCAAACTGAACCTCATCGAGCGGCGCATTCCCACGGAGTTGAGCTTTGAGGTTATACCGGTGGTGATCCGAACGTACGTGGCTGCGCTGTTCCTGCACGTTCTGGTAGGACACTTTGCAAAGAGAGCATTGTGTTGACGTTGCGATCGCAGCCTCTTGCGCCGCTACCTCTGGGTCTTTGGGGGTTGGCTCGGGCTGTTCGGCGGCAACGAGTTGTTGGTTCGCATTCTTCGGGGAGAGGGTTTCCAGAAGCTCCTGCGGCAGATCGTATACTGCGATTGGTTAGTTGGGGGGATATTTCAAGACCGGGGAATGTTTCTGCGCACCATAAAGAGGTCTCTTCAAAAGCTCTTCCAAGCGAGCTGTGTCTACAGCCATGGTTGACGGAGGAAGAAAGAGAAAGTCGGAACACGATGATGACGAACGGTAGGCGGCATAGTTATCCACCGCCTTACATATTAGGCTTAGAATCAAAGAGCCACGGTAGTATATCTACGGACGTGGCACGTATAGAAACGCAGTATAATAAAACAATACTAAATAGCTAGGTTAGGAACTATAGCTGTCTTCGACTAGAAGCTAAGAATTGAGCACGAACGGTAGGAAACGAAACGTTCTTGCGATAACTAGGCCTTTATTAGGCCGATTAGCTCTATTTTCCGAATGTCTCTTCCTAGCATTTAAAACATTTTTTAAGTTAAGAGGACTATCTTTGTATAACATATGCATTGGAGGGATAGTCCTAGACTCAGAAAGCGAGGTCTACATTAGGTAAGGAACCTACGCTCGATAGGAGAAGGAATAGAAAGACGCGAAGACGCCATTAATGGCGCAGGGAGTGGTGCTGAAAATTGGTGGGACGTTGAAGGGAGAGGGGAGAAGATAGCAGGGATTTATAGGCGAGGCAGACAGCAATATTACTTGTAGACATTAGACTCATTTTCCTCACTTTCCATTTTTAACTCTTTGGCTTTTTCCCCTAGTCTGAAACCCATTTTGTTCTCGGCCCCTGATGCCCCACCCCATGCCCTGCATATAGAGTGCGTGCCTCGACTCATATTGGCTCAGCCTCTCCATCGTGAATGGTCATTCTGACTCAAGGAATTCGTTGTTTGAATGATTGGCAAACTAGAATCATGAACAGCGGATAGCAGACAATCCATGGTTATCGTCGTGGTCATACAGGCAAACATCTGTCCCGGCCAACATATATATCTGTGGCAAACCCCCAGCTTCCTCTTCTTCCCTCCTCCACACCACTCTGATCCACCCTCTTCTCTCCATCTCTCTCTATATATATCTCACCACATATGGCTCCTCTTCAGTTGTGTCCTTCTTACTTTTCCAAGGAGCCAAAACAAAGATCGATCCCTCACGCGTGTACTGGAGAAGTCGATTCTGATCAACAACGGAAAACAGGGAGGCTGCTGAGCCTACCCGCCATGGGGAAAGAGTTGACACTCAAACCAAGGACCAGAGCAGGATCACCAGGGTGGACTGCACCGTGTCTGCAACAGACTTGATGCCCAAAACTTTTCGACTTCGTTCCAAGGCACACCGGTGTAGCCACCTCTAGTGGTTGAAGTCGGCCTTACCGAGTCGCCGAACCATCTTCGCGCTGATGCCCAATGGTGGTGGGCTAATTCTAGCCATCAGACAGCAGTTGTCGTCCTGTTCTCTATTCGTCGATCTCCCTCCTTCTCTGTCCATATAGAAGTATGCGACGAAGATCGTGAGTACTTCACCCGGTTTTCATATATCGATTACAATATCTGATGTACATGATGGCAGACAAAACTGTAATGCTATATATGTGGGCAGTAGGGTCACCCATCTGCCTGGTGTCCCTAGAGCCCTACGAGAAGTGGTCCGATGTGAAGGACTGGGAACTCACAGTTGGCCCGCCTTACGAACCATTAGGCCCGAAGCAATTGGTGAAGCTGTCTACTAGTGGCCACCTCAGCGCCGCGGTTGGGTAGAACGCGCTGCCAGTCATATTCCGCCTAGTCCTATTACAACGGGACATGGGCAATATGATCGGCTTTCGGCCCGTGGAGTGTCCAAGATCCCAAAGAAATGGTGTTAACTACATGCAGCTGCGCGGCTGTGTCTCCGACAGATTTGGGACAGAAGTGCAACAACTCCCTGTATCGCGGCCACCAGCTATTCGTCACCCGGCTACCAACCTTCACCTTCATCAAGGCCTTTCTTCCCTAGAATATGAGCTTTCTTTTCCTGAAATTACGACCGACCATATGTACTTGATGCACTAGACTAGGAGCTTTTATGGCCGTGGGGTCCCTGATAATAATGGACATCTAGTTGATATCTGTATGACGAAATAGGTACCTTTACCGGGCTGCATTCATGTAGACCAGTTTTCGATTCCCCCCCTTGTTCATACCATGTACTCCGTGACACAAGCCTTGTCGTGTCGGAATATGCTCATTGTCACTATCGTAGTTGCAACTCTCCTAGCTCACCTCTGGCGGTGTCTTGATTTCTAAGCGTCGCTCAATGCGGTTAAGGCCCCCGGCTTCGGTTTCTGGCTCGGAGCTAAGGCCGTTAGTCAGCCCATCCGCCATCCCAGAGCAGCATCTCGAACCTTTCTTCCCTCATCCTTCTGCGCCCAAGGACCGACTGGCTGCTTCGGAAAATGTTGGATGGCAGTTCCCAGGTGGTGCTCGAGGGTCTCCACTCAGGATTCCTCGAGCATTCGCGCCATGGATCGGCACTCGGACCCCGCCAGCGACAGCCCTTCTGCTCCGATCCCGAGGGCTGGGGCCCCCTTAGCTCATCGAGGTTTGACCTGACGCCATGCTTTCTTGACGTGATCGTGGCCCTCGTGGCGGTCTGGGGCTTGATATCTGGTGCCGGAGCGCTGTGGCTGTTGTTGCGGAAACGCATTCCCCAGCCAGTGTCCAAGAACTGGCATTTCTATGCCAAGCTGGTCAGTGCATTCCTGTACTTCGAAAGTGTTCATGTTGCTGATGACAGGCGGGAAATAATGTAGACTGTACTCGGTACTCTGATCTTCGCCACCGCCCTGCAAGCCGCTATTCAAGTCGAGCGACAGCCAACGACCTTTTGGGCCGACTTCCGCTTCTGGTCCTCCATCGTGACGATCGCCTCGCTCGGTGTGATCTATGCAGTGCAATACTTTGAACATTGGCGCAGCCGACAGCCCAATGGGGTCGTGCTGTTCTACTGGGTCTTCTTCATCATCGCCTACGCTATCAAGCTGCGTTCGCAGGTGGATCGGAAGGAGTACCTCCACCACCTCCCATACTTTGTCTGCATCAACGTCAGTTTGGGGCTGGCGCTTCTCGAATTTGTGCTGGAATACTTTGTTCCCAAGAAGCAAAGCGCCTATGACGCCCTGGGCGATGAAGATGAATGTCCTTACAACTATGCGGACATTTTCTCCGTCCTCACCTTCAGCTGGATGACGCCCATGATGAAGTTCGGATACACAAACTTCTTGACCCAAGATGATCTGTGGAATCTCCGGCGTCGTGATACCACCCGCGTCACCGGTGGCGATTTGAAAGCGACATGGGAGGATGAGCTGAAGCGGAAGAAGCCCTCTTTATGGATTGCGCTTTTCCGTGCATTCGGCGGTCCCTACGCCCGTGGTGCAATGATCAAATCGGGGAGCGATATGCTCGCCTTCGTTCAACCACAGCTCCTTCGGCTTCTGATCAGCTTCATCGATTCGTATCGCTACCCGGATCCACAACCGGTGATGAGAGGTGTTGCAATTGCCCTGGCCATGTTCCTCGTCTCGATCTGTCAGACGATGTGTCTCCATCAATACTTCCAGCGAGCCTTTGACACTGGTATGCGAGTCAAATCGGCTTTGACCGCTCTCATCTATGCCAAGTCATTGCGGCTGTCTAATGAGGGCCGCCTATCAAAGACGACTGGCGACATTGTCAACCATATGGCTGTTGACCAACAGCGCCTGGCGGATTTGACACAGTTTGGTACTCAACTATTGTCAGCTCCGTTCCAGATCGTACTGTGCATGGTGTCCCTCTACCAGCTCGTTGGCGTGAGCATGTTTGCCGGGGTCGGAGTCATGATCCTCATGATTCCGCTGAATGGCGTCATTGCGCGGTTGATGAAAAAACTCCAGATTGTCCAGATGAAGAACAAGGACTCAAGGACAAGATTGATGACCGAGATTCTGAATAACATCAAGAGCATCAAACTTTACGCTTGGAACACCGCCTTCATGAACAAGCTTAGCCATATTCGAAACGATCTAGAACTCAACACTCTAAGGAAAATCGGTGCCACGCAGTCCATTGCTAACTTCACGTGGCAGTCTACGCCTTTCTTGGTGTCTTGCTCAACCTTTACGGTCTTCGTTCTGACCAGTGATCGCCCCTTGACCACCGATATCGTCTTTCCGGCTCTGACCCTTTTCAATTTGCTCACTTTCCCGCTCTCAATCCTGCCCATGGTGATCACGTCAATCATTGAGTCTTCGGTCGCTGTGAAGCGGCTGACAGAGTATTTCACTGCGGAGGAGTTGCAGACCGACTCTGTTCTCTTCCAAGACTCTGTGAAGCATACGGGTGATGAGTCCGTTCGTATTCGCGACGCTTCATTCACCTGGAATCGCTATTCAGGTGAAGATGTTCTCAAGAACATCGACCTGAGCGCGCGCAAGGGCGAGCTCAGTTGTATCGTCGGTCGCGTTGGGTCCGGCAAGTCTTCGCTGCTCCAAGCATTACTCGGTGATCTGTGGAAGACGCGCGGTGAAGTGGTTGTCCGGGGCCGTATTGCATATGTTGCACAATCACCGTGGGTGATGAACGCCAGCATTCGAGAGAATATTGTCTTTGGCCACCGATGGGACCCGTCTTTCTATGACCTCACTGTTGAGGCCTGTGCTCTTCTCGATGACTTCAAGATCATGCCTGATGGAGATTTGACAGAGGTCGGCGAGCGAGGCATCTCACTTTCAGGAGGACAGAAAGCGCGACTGACACTCGCTCGGGCTGTCTATGCTCGGGCTGACGTTTATCTTCTTGACGATGTCCTCTCGGCAGTGGATCAGCATGTCGGCCGTCATATCATCAACAAAGTGCTTGGATCCGGCGGTCTTCTTAACGGCAAGACCAGAATTCTCGCGACCAATGCCATCACTGTTTTGAAAGAGGCAGACTTTATTGGGTTGTTGCGCGACAAGACCATCATCGAGAAGGGCACGTACGAACAGCTGCTGGCCATGAAGGGCGAAATCGCCAATCTTGTCCGTACTACAATGGTTGAGCCGGAGGATGAGGGCGATGCCAGCGGTTCAGAGGATGGTCTCGCTAGCCCGGTGGACAGTTCGGATTCGACGACCGTGATTGGAAACGGAGATGACGCTTCCGATGAAGATGTGGAGCAACCCGGGTCTCTCGTTCCCATTCGGACGGCTGCTGATGCTCGTCGACGCACCAGCACCGTTACTCTTCGACGTGCAAGCACTGCGAGCTGGCATGGCCCCAGACGCAAATTGGGAGATGAGGAGAACATCCTCAAGAGCAAGCAAACCCAAGAAACATCGCAACAGGGCAAGGTCAAATGGAGCGTGTACGGCGAGTACGCCAAGGAAAGCAACCTTGTTGCAGTTACCTTCTACTTGTTTGCCCTTCTGGCTGGGCAAACGTCTCAAGTGCTTGCTAACTACTGGCTGAAGAACTGGACTGAGTGGAACGAAGCGCATGGGACCAATGATGACGTGGGTAAGTTCATTGGCATCTATCTCGCCTTCGGTCTGGGCGCGTCCGTCTTGGTTATTTTCCAGAACCTCATACTGTGGATTTTCTGCTCGATCGAGGCATCTCGTAAACTGCATGAGCGCATGGCATTCGCCATCTTCCGCTCTCCCATGAGCTTCTTTGAGACAACGCCGTCTGGTCGGATTCTCAACCGGTTCTCCAGCGATATCTACCGAGTTGATGAGGTGCTTGCTCGCACGTTCAACATGCTCTTTGCCAACTCTGCTCGCGCTATCTTCACGATGGTCGTCATTGCTACCTCGACTCCCGCCTTTTTAATCCTGGTCATTCCGCTGAGCTGGGTTTACCTGAGCTACCAGAAATACTACTTGAGAACCTCGCGCGAGTTGAAGCGTCTTGATAGCGTCACTCGGAGTCCGATCTATGCCCACTTCCAGGAATCATTGGGTGGTATCTCGACCATTCGTGCCTATCGACAGGAGAACCGTTTCGCGCTTGAAAATGAGTGGCGTATGGATGCCAACCTACGGGCATATTTTCCCTCCATCAGCGCTAACCGGTGGCTCGCGGTTCGCCTTGAATTCATCGGCTCCGTTATCATCCTGGCCTCCGCCGCGCTTTCCATCACCTCTGTGGCAACTGGCAGCCGTCTTTCCCCTGGCATGGTCGGTCTGGCCATGTCTTATGCGCTCCAGATCACGCAGTCTCTGAATTGGATCGTCCGCCAGACTGTGGAGGTCGAGACTAACATCGTGTCCGTCGAGCGAGTGCTCGAGTACGCAAGCCTCCCCAGCGAAGCACCAGAGGTGATCTTCAAGCGCCGCCCTGCCATCGGCTGGCCGGGACAGGGTGCTGTCTCTTTCAAGGACTACAGCACGCGGTATCGTCCTGGATTGGATCTGGTGCTCAAGAATATCGATCTTGACATCAAGCCACACGAAAAGATCGGTGTTGTTGGTCGGACGGGTGCTGGAAAGAGCTCTCTTACGCTGGCTTTGTTCCGGATCATTGAAGCCGACAGTGGTAGCATCAGGTAAGCCTCGATGAAATTGCCAAACCTATAATCTAGTGCTAATCTGGTTACAGTATTGACGGCCTTGACGTGAGTACAATTGGCTTGTTTGACCTCCGTGGTCGCCTAGCCATTATTCCTCAAGATCCGGCTATGTTTGAGGGTACTCTGCGCGATAATTTGGATCCTCGTCATGTTCACGACGACACCGAACTCTGGAGCGTGCTAGGTACGTTGAATGTGTTTTCCATGAGGTGAAAGATTTCCTAACAAAATTGAAACTCCCAGACCATGCGAGATTGAAGGAGCACGTCTCCGGTATGGAGGGCCAACTGGATGCTCAGATCCAAGAGGGAGGTTAGTGAATACCTTGATGTTCTGTCCACTTGGAAACCGGTTTTCTGACCTGAAGCATAACAGGGTCCAACTTGAGTCAAGGTCAACGCCAGCTGGTGTCCCTTGCACGGGCACTGTTAACACCCAGTAATATCCTGGTGCTAGACGAGGCAACCGTAAGATTTCCCCTTCTCGCTCCAGTGTGGCAAATTTGGCTAACAACAACGGTCAATTTTAGGCGGCTGTTGACGTGGAGACGGACGCGTTGCTTCAGCGGACCCTGCGCAGCAGCATCTTCCAAGACCGCACCATCATCACGATTGCGCACCGTATCAATACGATCATCGACTCTGATCGAATCGTCGTGCTGGACAAGGGTCGAGTGGCGGAATTTGACACGCCGGCGGAGCTGATCAAGCGAGGCGGACGCTTTTACGAGCTCGCCAAGGAAGCTGGCTTGCTTGACAGCGACGGCCTGATCGCCTCTCCGCACATTGCG